CTCCAAACTGGGCTCCCTGGTTTTGCCTGTACCCCTCCACTCTCCACACCAGGCAGGTCGCCAGAGTGAAAAATCATAAAAAGCCAGAATCACTTAAAGCCAGAGTTTAAAACTGTAAGTCAAATCCTGTCATTTCTCTGCTGAAACCCTTTGTTCACTTTTAGTCTCAGAGTAAAAACCAAAGACCTCTGTCCCCACAGTACCTCCCTGTCCCTAATTTTGGTTTATCATCCTCCCTGCTTCCCCTCACTTGCCCTACCTACCTGGCCTCTTTGCCACTCCCCAACCTACCCACACACCCTTGCTTTGGGCTTGTTTGCCATCCCCATGACCCAGAATGCTTTTCCTCTGCATATCCTTCAGGTCTCTTTAAGTCCCCTGGATAGTGAAACCCTACCTCACTACCCCCTAAACATAAAATAGTGACACCCTACAATCTTCCCTCTGCACAATCCTCAAGATTTATCTCCACAGCCCTCTGTGTCTACACCATACATGTTTATGTGCTCACTGTCTCCAACCTGAACTCTGCCCTACTAGACCCTAAGCTCCAGGAGAACAGAAACTTAGGTTTTTCTCTCTCCTGTATTCCCCATATTGTTGGCTAGTGTGTACAAGCAAAGGTCCGTATCAATAGGCTTTGCAGCAATTGCTTGCTCTTGGATTCAGAAGCTGACAGCATTTTCTAAATACGCAATGCAATTCTTCCATGTGGCCAGATAATTCCCATTTTCAGGATAAAATAGAAAGGGATAATTTTAGGACAGATGTTGCAATCTGTAGGTAAGCTCCATGAGGGCAGGGACTGTGTCTGATTCATGTTTGGTGCTGATTTATTTGGTGAATAGTTGCTAATTGATCAAAAACATTTCAACCTAGTCTTGAGGTCACAAATGGAAGCATAGCAAGAACTTTAAGGATAATCTGTCCATTTCCTACTTGGAGCTAAATGAGATTGGCAGAGGGTAAGTGACCTACCCAAGGTCTCACCACTAACTAGAATTCTGCTTCCTGAGTCCCATCCAAGCATTCTTTCCCATTCATTGAACTGCCTGTGTCAGCTTGAAAGACATGAAGAAACCTTTGGAACGAAAATTAGAGAACAAGTACTGAAATTTAGAAAGGACCCAGCTGTTGGACCGCATTGTTTGCATCTCTATCTATAGCAGAAGGAGCTGCGTGTGGAAACAAGCCAGACACGTGCTCATATCCCCACACTGCTATTGATGAGTTGCAGCAGTTTGGTCAAGCTGCTGCACGTCTGGTCTTCAGCTGAGCTATTCTGTAAAGTGGGGATTGCCCAAATGGCACTTATCCAGGGGCTTCTATAGTGGGGTTGCAAAACTACAACCTGCCCTGTAACTCACAAGTGAGGGGAGTGCATGCTTTCATCTTGTCACCAACTGCCTGGTCTCCCTCAGGAGCAAAAAAAATTAACTCAAGATCCAGGTCTGTCTAAAGCTAAGTCTGAATGGGTACAGAATTTCAGTTGGGATGATGAAAAAATTCTGGAAATGGATAGTGGTGATGCTTGCACGAGAATGTGAATGCACCTGGTTCCACTGAACTATGCACTTAAAAATGGTTAAAATGGCAAATTTTAATGTACAATTTACCACAATAAAAAATGAAAACGAAAAAAAAAAACTTAGTCTGATCAGTTAATTTAGACAGCCTGTTCTGGTAATGCTCTGTCACTTCTGGAGAGAAAAATCAACCTCTCAGGTTTCTCAGGCTTGGCCTCCCTTTCTCTCACTAAGATTGTGTGGATATGTGGTGAGGAGGTGGATGGGGTGTGGAAAGTGGTGGCTTTAGTGATCTTGCAGCAGAGGGAGAAGAGGGGGCCCTCGGCATTACTGCCTCGGCCTTCTCCAGTCCCTGTGGGTGCCAGGGTACTGCTTGCCTCCACTCCCCACCCTGTCTTACGGCTCCAGTCTGGGCAAACACCAGAATTGTGACACACCAAAATTTCCTTGTGATGCTGGTTGGAAAGCAGTGCTGTAGCCTAACTGGAGTGGAGAGGAACCCTGATCATAGCACCTCACCTTCCCTGGTGGTCAAGTCCTCTCATCTCTGCACTGTCTCTGCAGTGTGTCCTGCCTCTCAGTCCACATGGACAGCTTGGATGAGCCCCCATCCTGTGGGCGTCCTCAACTACAGAGCCTTATAGTTATCACACTGGTTGTTGACTGATCCACAAGCTTCCCACCAGACCCAAAGCTCCTCAAGGTGAAAGACTGTATTCCCAGTGTCTGGAACCATTCCTGGCTCAGTAAATGTTTTTCAAAATTCCTTCATAGCAACTGCTGGCTGCTCCCTGTCTGCAAGCCCCTTTTAAAGTACCCATGAAATGTCACATAGGAAGGAGGTGACAAGGCCCCTACCTTCACATTTCAAAGACAGGACAAAAGCAAAATATAAAATGTCATAAAAAACAATACAGAGTTGTTACCAACATGCCACATGTTTAAAGTTGCAGAATAAATAGTCATGAAATGAGAAGCTGGTGTCTCAGCTCCGTGATGAGCAAATGCTGGTGAACAGAATACGTGGGGCTGTCTGGGTCTGAACACTTGGAGGAACTGTGTGCATTGTGTGTGTGCACGTATGTGAAAAACTACCCCCAGGACATTAGCCAACTTTGAGACTCACTGCTGAAGTTGATGTCTCTTCCCTAGACTGGTATCTGTTTAAATTATGGAATTTAACAAAGAAGTGGCGGTTGCCCTTAGCTCATAAAAAATGTTACAACAACAGTATAACGGAGAAACAAAGTTTTTAAAAAGCACAGTTAACTGTAATTCATCCTGGGTAAAATAACTGGGAGCCAAAATAATTTAACAAATTCTGTCCTCTCCAGAGGGAAAAAAAAGTGGCTTTTAAGCCTACTTACTTACAGGAAATTCCTCTGAAAGCTCAGACACGAATTACTGGTGAACACAAGGTCCAGGTGCTTTTTTTTCTGTTTGTTCCCGCCCACCCCCTACTCCGGGGTATGAGCTCTAAGAACTGCTCCAAGGGAGCTCCCGGGATCACGCGGGTTCAGCTACGAAGAAGAATAGAGGCCAGAGGAGACAGAGGTTGGGATAGTTCTTCCTTATTCTGGTTTGGATTTTATGGTAGAGACCGAATGTCCCTCCACTACAGCCTGAAGGCCCTTCCCTCCCCATGTGCCCCAGCTTGGGCGGGTCCGTAATGACTTGCAGCTGTTGTTAATATGCCTGAAGAGATGCATCAGTAGGTCATTCATTTAAGTCTCTTGATGCATCAGAGTTGGATTTTGTCTCCTGCAGGACCCCAACTAGTAAGTCCACAGTGAGAAACCCTTGGCTGGTGTCAACTAGATCAGTGATGTCATGATTTTCTGGCCATTGATGGACATTAACTAGCTGGTATTCCATTGCTGTGGCTAGAAAATGTGACTAAGTTGTTTGTAAACTAATGGCCTGGAGCCTGTACTTCAAATATAATTGCCTTCTCAAAGTCGAGACCTTAGAATGCTTTTAATACCTATTCCAATAATGGCCAACATGTTAAAATATTCTGAGGCTGCCTTTTAAGATTCCTTTACTGTTTATAAAATATTATCTTGCCATGTTGAAAAATAGTCCTCCTTTGATGGCAGATTTGATTCAGATCAACAGGTTCTATCACAATACAGATATGAAAATAAGCAATAATTTCATTATGTTTTTTGCTAACTTAACTAATCAAAATATCTTTTATGGCTTTTCTTTTTCTTTTTTGGTATCATTAATGTACAATTAGATGAGCAACATTATGGCTACCAGACTCCCCCACATACCCCATTACAGTCACTATCCATCAGCGTAGTAAGATGCTATAGAATCACTACTTGTCTTCTCTGTGTTATACTGTCTTCCCCAAGCCCTCCCCCCTACATTATGCATGCTAATGGTAAAATGCCCCTTTTCCCCTTTATCCCTCCCTTCCCACCCATCCTCCCCAGTCCCTTTCCCTTTGGTAACTGTTAGTCCATTCTTGGGTTCTGTGAATCTGCTGCTGTTTTGTTCCTTCAGTTTTTTCTTTGTTGTTATACTCCACAGATGAGTGAAATCATTTGGTACTTGTCTTTTTCCACCTCGATTATTCCACTGAGCATTATACCCCTTAGCTCCATCCATGTTGTTGCAAATGGCAGGATCTGTTTTCTTCTTATGGCTGAATAATATTCCATTGTGTATATGTACCACATCTTCTTTATCCATTTATCTGCTGATGGATACTTAGGTTGCTTCCATTTCTTGGCTATTGTACATAGTGCTGCGACAAACATAGGGGTGCATATGTCTTTTTCAAACTGGGCTCCTGCATTCTTAGGGGAAATTCCTAGGAGTGGAATTCCTGGGTCAAATGGTATTTCTATTTTTAGTTTTTTGAGGAACCTCCATACTGCTTTCCACAGCTTTTTTTTTTCTTTTAAGGCAGGATCCCATCAAGGTTCATGAGTTGCTTTTGGTTGTCTCTGAGTATCTTAGGGATGCAGAGATGTGACTTTATGTTACTAACTCTGCCATCCAGCACTGTGTAACACCATAAATGTACTGACTGAATCAAATGGGTCTTTAGTAAGGGTTAATAGTGTTACTGGCATGGCAAGGGTCACAACTCCCATATGGGAGGAGAGGAGTGGGTCACTCATTAGAGCCATTAAATTGGTGCTAGTAGTCAGAATTTTCCTTTTTCATGTTAGGACACACAGAAAATAACATTTCCACAGCAAGCTGGGGTAAACACAGGGGACTCCTGGGGGACTTCATTTGTAGTACATCTTGGAAATGTCTGGGATCAAAAATATGGCAAAGGTTATGTTTTTTAAGTTACTTTATGTCCTAAAATATTGTTATTTCCAACCTCCATCACTTTAGGTAAGCTAGTGCATTTTTTCCTCAAAAGGCCTAGGCTACAGTCTCATCCTGTCCCCTTTCGACAGTCACACATACTGATTCACCTGGAAAAACAGACAGTGGTGGCCTTTTTCCATGTTATTTATTCAGTCAGCTAGCTACATGAGGGGAAGAAACAAATTAGCGGGAGCTCTTGGAGGCATACGGGTATGGGTGGAAGGGTGGGGATTTAAACAAAATATAAACAATTTCATGGAAGATGTACAGATATCCATTTAAAAAAAAAGTATCCCCTCAGGGTAACAGGAAGATAAAATCATTACAAATAAAATATATTAGCAATTTCTGTTCACTGCATTCCCTAAAGCCAAAGTCTCTGAAAATGGCTTGCATTTGAGACTGTCATGACTTGCAGATACTCATGTGGTACATATTTCCAACACAGAAAAATAAGGACTGAGACTGAGTAACCAATTAATATAATACAGAGGAAAATCAAGCACATGAAAATAACTATTGTCTGGTAGCAAAAATAGATTTATGCTGATGTGAATATCAAAATTAAAGACATTCAAGTAAACTATGCCAATACATTGGAACTATTACTCCTAAGATTACAAGAACAACTTCTTATTGCTCCTACTCATAACTAAAAGGTCTGAGGAAATTCTATGATAGTTGGAAGGCATAATATAACTGTAGCATATGTAGTAGGCCTACAACAAGGTTCAACAGCCAAATAAAAACTTCATACTTTTCTATTTTTCTTTTAGGATTGACATTGTTAATGGTAGAATAAGACTATTCATCATAAATCTAGAAAATACAGATGAAGGACAGTACTTGAAGCTTAAGCAGATGCTTTGTTGAAAGTAATTAGAAGTAGAGTATTATAAAAGCAGCAGTTTGAATGAAGTGAACATTTAAAAAGTTGGTCTGTACATTTTTTTCTCCCCCAAAATCCCATAGGAAGTAAATGAGGACTGTGGGGGCATCTGGGCATTCTGGGGACTTGATGAATTACTGGACAGTTGTCCTAAAATGAACTTGGTTTAATTAGGACCAGAAACAGCCTGGCTCTGAGAGGTGAACTGCTTAGAGAAGCAGCACTGAGACTTGGATTATTAGGGAAATACCAGCCTGTGCTTGGGGCTTGGGAAGGGAAGAGATCGGCTGCCTGGCTACACTGGACTCTGTTGGCTCCTTCTTCAGTGGATCACCTGCAGCTTGGGGCAATCAATAGCCACAGGAACATGTGAAGTGCAATGAGGTTGACTGCAAAAGTTCCCATTTCCAAGACTATCTGGCGATTCAGCATAAACTTGGGATGGAATAATCAGGAATAAAATAGAAGTGAAAACAGGTATCTTGAGCGGAGTTATCTTAAAATATGTATCTCAAATTGGCATTATTTAATTGGGAGATTCAAAGTCCCAAAAATTAAATTATATTTCAATTCTTCCCAAACAACAATAACTTGTTTCTGTTTTCTTCATCTTAAAAATATAAAATGCCCTTCAGCTGCAAGTTAGGTGGGAAGGTGCTTTTGAAAATAGGGACTGAGGGGAAAAAGAAGCCACTTCCCCCTCAAGGTAGTTTTAAGATTATAGTATAAGGCTGCATCAGCAAATTGTTTAAATTTCAGAAAAAGCCCTTTATAGATGCTGCTTCTGACTAGTAGACTTTTAAATTTGCATATAGTTCTGTATTATATTCTAATTCATCCTCACGCCCATCTCAAAGGTGTTATTTGTTCCATTTATCCTTGTAATTCCATAATAAAGCATAAGATCAATTGAAATAACAGTACTGGAACAATTACAGAATTCCAAATACTGATGGCGAGGCTACATCCATCCAGGCTGCATGTTTTGTTTTGTTGTTGTTTTTCTCTTTGAGCCAGCCTCTGGAGCAGGCCTATCTAATGATCAGTATTTTTAAAATTCTACATTAATCTTCACAATGTGAAAACTAGATTTGTTTTCCCTTTGAGTACCCTTAAATCTATAGCCTGCCACTTCCTGTCTGTGAGCAGAATTTAGATACATGCTTGGAAAGAAAAAGACAAAGCACATACCAAAGAATTTGATTGTGTCACTGAACTGCTTAGAAATAGAAGTGATACTCACACTGTGCTCATCTTGACACCTTGATAAAATGGAATGAATGAATGTAATATTTAATAAGTCATTGTTTTTAAATGCTAGTTACCTGCAGATTCCAAAAGATCACTGATCCACTTCAAATACCTTTACATTTTGAAAATAAAATACTGTCCAACTGGTTATTTGGTGTGATACTGAAAAGTCATGCATTTTTTTGTTATTTATTCTACTTTTCATTCATAGCATTCTACATGCTCTGAAATTATTTAAAAATCTAAAAATGTTTTCTGGAGAAATCCCACACCATTACACTAGTTGTCCCAAAGGACTGTTACAGACATTAAAGTAAAGGTCTTAAAAATGAGGCTTTGGTTTTAATGTAATCTGGGCAGAAGTAGGGATTGCTTTGATAACACATTCAACCACTGCACAAATTCTATTGTACTTTGAAATAACACATTTAAAAAGTTTCCCCTTTAAATAGTTATGATCTGTATTATTCAAGACTACTGCAAAACTCACAAAAGGGTGGTGTGACTAAGAAGGAAGTAGAGGAAAGGGATAAGACACTTACAGCTTTATCAGAACACAACACAAAGGAAGAACATCAATTCTCTACATTTGTCTGTAAGGCAGATGGTCAAACTTTTTATACAAGATCTCAAATGTGGTGTTATTAAGAGGTAGAAAATACCAAAATGGTATTTAAGAAAAACATGTTGAGTTATTTTAAACAGTTATTTTGCTAAGCTTTTAGAAAATCAAACTCCTGTGTGGAATGTGCTGTATGTTTTACACTAAACTGGAACACTCCATACTTGACGGAGATGTGGGGACAGCAGGGAAACTAAGAGTGGGTGGGTAGCAGAAAATAGTTTTTTAATTTGTAAAGGGTTCAGTTCTCACTAAGGAGAGATTTCCTATTGCATCTCTGGGATGCCATTAAAACATTTAATTAATGGGGATTTCTCAGATTAACAACGATTGCTCTGAGTAACTGTACAAATTGGCACATAGGCAATAAAACTATAGAGAGTGATGAGCTCAAATACTTCCACTTCAAGAAGGTCTCATATCCATCTCATATAAAAATATACACTCCACTAAAATTATTCCATCCTCCCAACTACCGAGATGCAAACACAAATGTTCTTCAGAGCAGCCTCGGCAAAACTGCTCTGTCTGGGCGATTCAAGAGCTGTTGGAGGCAAGAAGATATCCGAGCTATCAAATTAAACTTGGGTAGCTTATGCATGGGTGCGTAACCCTGGGTGTTCTTATTTCCTAATGCACCAGGGAGAGATGGATTTTTTTCTCCAACATAATTCTATAAGGCATAAATTTAATTTGAAATTTTGTAACCTTTGGAAAGTTAGTGTTAAAGCTTCTTTTTTAACCCACACATTAACATTCAATCTTTCATTTTTATTAAATAGTTTATATATAAAAAGAAATATCAAGGTGTTCTACATTCATATAAATGATTGTGATAACATTTAAAATTGTAAAGAATCTATTGAAGAAAATATATCCTTAAATACTTACAATTCTAAGCTAAGCACAAGTGATCAACCTAGATAGTACCTTTTAAATATACAGATACAGGTTTGTGGCTTTAGAAAGCAAACATAGGAGAGTACAAGGATGTCTCATTCTTTTTTTCCTTTTACCACAAGACAGGATGGTCCAGTTTGGAAAAGCCAAGATCTTTTCTAAGATCCAAGTAGGTGCCATTGCTCACCCAAGAGTCATCATCAGATTTCCTGTGAAAAGAGGAAATACTTTCTGAAGGCTCTTGAAAATACTGTCCTGGTCTCTCTCTTTAGCTTCCCCTCTCCCTCCCTCCCACGCCTACCAGGCTATCATTCTCAAATGTATGCAATGTCCCTAAAAGGCCAGTACTGAAGTTGTGAGGGACTGGAAGTCTGGCAAACACATTGTTCTTTCTGACTTTGACTTCTCAGAGTTCATAAAAAATAGTGCTTCTTGGAGAAGCATAAGTGAAGGAAGAGTTTGTTGTAGTCAAAACATGGCTGGGATGATAGTCACCACCTTGGGTATGAATATGTAAAAGCTACAAATCAACCACATTGTTCATATCAAGTGATAAATTTAACATTCAAAAGAAAAGGAACTGGAAGCTGTAACAGTGTGGAGCGAGTGACCGAGTGACCGTGGTTCACTATTCTTTGAGTGGATAATATATTACCTGGATCAAAATTCAAAAGATGCACAAAAGGGCAGGAGCTTAAAGTTTTCTTCTCCTCCTATCTCTCCACCTCTTATTTCTTCTCTTCAAAGTTGATCTTATCAACTTTATTCTTTCAGATTAGTTTCATGCATGTATGAATGTGTATGAACACATCCTTCACCCCTCTCCCATTTTTTATATTTTCCTATCTATCCCTTGAATTTTTGACATAGTATGTATTGGAGATCATTTTCCATCATCACAATAAGGTAGCAAACTACAGCCCAAACCTAAAGGCCAAAGCCAGCCTTCTGTCTGTCTTTGTAAAACCGTTTTATTAGAACACACCCATGCCCATGCACTTTAGCACTGTGTACGGCTGCTTTCACCCTGCACAGCGGGGTTGAGTGATCACTACTGAGACCTTATGGCCTGCAAAGCTAACAATATTACTATGTGCCCTCTACTGGAAAAGTTTGGTGACTCTGGTACTAAGGGGCTCCTCATTTTCTATGGCTTGGCAGAATTGGGCAAACTGGCTCATTTCAAGCATATACCTTTGTTAGAACAGGAAAACAAGTGCGACAAAAATCTGTTCCTGAGAGTATGGAGAAACAGGCATGCTCTCCTTTTGCTTTGAAGACGTAAGACAATATCTGCCAACATTACAAAAGCACACACTCTGATCTCTACTTACAGGAATTCTTAATCTAACTACACTCATGCATATACAAAATAACATTACTTTATGTTTATTATATTATTATAAACATATATTTATAGAAGCTAGAGATTGAAAACAACCTCCTTAGTGCCCTCCCCCATAGAGTACCTGTTAAATTGTGGTCAATCCCTACAAAAGACTACAGGCAACTGTTTGAATTCATGTCATTGAGTGAGTGTTAATGGCAACATCTAAGTCCCACATTCCTTTATGTCACCTCTTTGCCAGTACTGCTGTTGCTGAAGAACTCTTGCCTTTTCTCCAACTTTTTATTTGTCATATCCAACACTCTAATAATACAGGCAATCAAAAGGAGGAAGAGCCATGGCCTTTTCCATACCAGACATAATTGTTAGATGGCTGCAATGACAACCTAGACAGTATTTTATATTCTGCATTTAAACGTTGATTCATTACCCACATAGCTGCAAAGACTTTGTGAAGTCATTTTGTTGCTTTCATATTAGATCAAGTTGATGAATCTCCTCACCTAGTTCTTGAGACAGTTTTGTTACCCACAATTTTTAATGATCCTAAAAAATACTGTAATGAACATCTGTGTAAATATAGATTTTCCTTGTTTTTAAAGCAACACTAGATGATTTATCAGAGAGAAAAAAAGAAACAGTCTCCTTGAGGGTATATGCATGTATCTATAATTGATCAGTCTATTAAGCTATCCATTTATCTATGCCTTGCATTTTTCAGAAAAGTAATTTAAGGCATCTTATTGTTTAGATATAAAAAGAAGTTATGAATATTTCAGGAAAAAACTCTGGTCAGTTGATCTTTAATCACTCATATCCTGAGTTCGTGGAAGTGATCAGAAGGGATCTGGCAAAGACCACATCAACTCTAAGGGAAAGAGCATTATATATATTTTAGGGATAAACTGTTACTTGTTACTATTGCTATCTTGGAAATAATATTTTATAATTTACTGATAGAATAGCAGCTAATTCCTCTTAAAAGTATTCCTGTTGCCCATTAAAAAGCAATGGCAAACCCAAACTACCCCCAAACAAGGCCCTGGCTGCCCTCAAAGCAAGGCTAGGATGGAAGGGGTAAGGCAAGAGCCTGTCACTTTCCTTCATGTGCCTGTTTTAACGTTGATTTTTTAGATCAGCCCTAAAATCGTATAGAGTTCTGGCCTGCAGTCAGGAGAGCCGGGCCCGAGCCAGGATAGTGTGGCGGGTCCTCTGTGGACCGCCTATAATCTTTGGGCCTTCACTTCCTTTTAGTTAAGGTAAAAGGGGGTGAAGGGCTGATGATCTACAATGCCCCTTTTAAATCTTTCAGTCTATTTTTAACAAGACCTTCTTGGCAAGTTATTTCAAAATTAATAATAAATGTTTTAAGTCTAAGCACATTGGAGCATCTGCAATTAAAAAAGTAGACTACTTGGATTTCTGTTTTGGTAACCAGTGGGTAATTGTTAATTATCTCTGTCGCCTGGGAAGTATACCTAGGCAGGTGACCCACCTTAGACATGGGTTTTAAAAGCTGGCCTGGTATTGGGAGACGGGTTGGGGTAGTCTGATTGCTTCTTCCACAGGCACTTACTGAGCACCTCCTCTGCAAAGTTACTGGGTGAGGCACTGAGGGGCAGCTGGGAAAAGGGCAAGGGATACAGAAAAGGGGACGCTGCTCCTGTGTAGGACAGAGGAAGGGACAGCCCAGAGGCAAGTGTCCACAGAAAGTCCAGCCCTCACACAGAGGTGAGGTTAAACTACTCCAAAGCAGGAAAATCATCCAGAACCCTCTCATTTGGGTAGAGGACACCCCTGTTCAATTTCCTTACAGTGGGAGCATCAGGTATTGCCAGTACCTACTGAGTAATGACCCACACAGTCCCTGCACACACCTGAAAAACCGAGGCTGGTGTTCCACGTTATTTTCTTCTAAGACCCTCCGCCTTTCTCTCTGTAGCTGTTCAATCCTCTGCTTTTGTATTTCAGCTTCTTCTATATTCCCTTCTTCTAGAAACCTGAAGTATTGAGGAAAAAAATAAGGGAACATGAATTCCAAGAAAATATAACAATCATTACTACTACTGGGATTACATGTGCCTGAGACTGGATATTCAAAATGCTTTCCTATACATAAGACCCCTCTCCAACCCTTAAAAATACTCCAAGGACTTTGGGGCACAGTCTCCCTTTCATCCCTGTTTCTAATTCTACCTGTTTCCTCACCACCACCACCCCACCTCAGGTAACCCACTGTTACTAGTTTCTTGTGCATCCTTCTAGAGATTTATACACATATAAGCTAGTGTTAATATATATTCTTACACCTCCCTCCCTGTTTAAAATATAAATGGTAGCATGGTGCACATACTGTTTATACCTTGGTTTCTTGTTTTTACTTTTTACTTAGCAATATATCTTGGAGATCTTTCTTGGTAGGACACAAATATCTTCACTTTTTAATAGCGTACAATATTCAGTTGTGTGGATATACCTTCATTTATTTAAACAATTCCCTATGAAAGACACTGGGGATGTTTCTAATTTTTTAATATTAGAATTGCTGCTGTTAATGACCACATATATCTATCATTTTGTACATGGGTTAGTATATCTGTAGGAAAAACTTCTGCAAGTGGAATCCTGGGTTAAAAAGTGAGTTTGTAGTACGGGGATTATAGCAATTTACTATAGACTTTTTAAAAATAGCATTATAGCATTCCCACCAGAATGTTATCAGAGTACCTTTTTCACATAGTCTCAGATCACATCAAACTTTTGAATCTTTGCCATATGATAGGTTAATAAAGAGTATGTCAATGTGGCTTTAATAACTTGAATACCTTTGATGAGATTGAGCATCTTTTCATGTGTTTAAGGGATATCTGTATTTCCTATTTTGTGAACTCTTCATTTCCCTATGTCCATGTTTTAAATGATTTTAATGATTTAATGATTTCAAGAATTTTTTGTGATCTTAATTTCTAGAACCAATTCATAAAATGGGTTGCAAATACAGATTTCCCAGTTTGTCATTTATCTTTAGACTTTCAGTATATATATATATTTACTTTACCATGAAGAAGGATGTTTTGTTTTTAAATAAAGTCATGTTTATCCATTTTTTTCCTGAGTTTTAAGTCTTAATTAGAAAGGCCTTAGAGCAGAGATAATTATTTCCATTTTACAGAACAGGAAACTGAGGCTAAGACTAAAAATATTTACCATATGTCACACAGATTGTCAGCAGCAAACCTAGGATCAGATGTTAGATCTCAGGGCACCAAAATAATTCAAATTCGAGGAGTAAGGCAGCTGGATTTTTTTTCACTCTTGAATACACAACACGTTCTATGTTATTATATGCAGGAAGACTCTTACAAATAAACACTTTTTTTTTTGCTATGTCAACAGAAACAGGGCTCTACTAATGAATAAAGGTCAAGCCACACAGAATTAAGCTGGGCTCCATTCCCTCCATGGACTCAAAGTCCCCCTTGATCTCTACTCGTGATGACATTATCTCACTCAGGCTCTTTTCGTAGCCTGGGACAAGACTTTTTATAAAGAGTTTTACATCTCTGGAGATAAAGATTTTAAAACCCTTACCTTTGGTCTGGCCTAAATCGAGTGTCAGTAGGTGGTAATAAAGACTTCAATAATGGATCCATTTCGTTTAATTCTAGCGCAAACTGTGTGAAGCCATAATACTGCTCATAACCTTTCGGCATGGGATCTAAAAGAAAAAGAAGCCATTCGTCTGTAACTTGCATTTCATTTTCTTTATATTTTAATTCCTTCACCTTTTTCATCTAGGACCAGCTACAATTTTTCTCTTTCAACTCTAAACTTTTCTATTTCTACTAAAAATATTCTGGCTAACAAATAGGTACTGAATATTTCTCTCTAAATTTTCTTCTCTATAAGTTTTCTTCTGCTTACAAGGATAAGGCCTCTTAAGTGTGGCTATACAGCAAATTCATGCAATGCCATGAAGTTTCTATACTGTGGAAACTAGAACAATAATTTGTTACTAAAATAAACCTGTTAAAAAGAATTCCAGACCCACTTTTCCTGGCTAAGAAGACTCTCACCCTAGAGAATCCATTTTTCATTTAAGAAGTGTCAAATTCTCCTGGAACTCTGTCCAGTACCCAGAATACTGTTGAACCCAGGGCAAGTGGTCATTGTTATTCCTTTCTTTTCTGCCCCTCTTTACACCAACTCTTGCCTCTCCAAATCTTACAGATTTAAATTTAAAACCATCTCAGTAGAAGCCAGGAATAGGGACGGCATTATACCAGCAGAAATACTGCCAGCCAGAACCACAAGAGACAGAGAGAATAGGACAGAATGAAGTTAAGCTCTTGGACTATTGGTGTTTCATAAGCTGGCTCCCTAATGCTATCCAGCTGCAAATATGTGTTATCCTTCAAGTAAAAAGAAGATGACTCTGAAGGTGAGTCAGAAATCCTCCAGGCTGCCACTCCCACCACAGGCCCAGACTATAGTTCCAGTGGGCAAGGCTGCCTCTCCCTTTCAAAGGGTGGGGCCGCTGTCATAGTTTCAACATGCCAGGCTGCCACCACCCAGGGCCATGGGGGCCACGGAGGGAGGGCCACTGCCCCAGTACGTCTGGAGGGCATGGAATCAGAGAGAATGATCTCTAGTCTTAACATCCAGTAGCATCCACTGTGCTAGGTTTTGGACTTGCTTGGGAACTACCATTCTTTCTTCTTTCCTATGCCTCCCCTTTGGAATGGAATATCCATCCTCTGCTTATCCCACTATTGTGCTTTGGAAGCACATTTTTGTTCCACAGCTGGAGAAGATGAATCATACCTTAAGTTTCATCTATACCCAATTTAGGTGATATTCAAATGAGACTCTGTACTTCAGACTTAAGAGTTGATGCTGGGATGAGTTAAGACTTGGGGGCTGTCGGGATGGGATAAATATATTTTGCATGTGAGAAGGGAATGGCTGAGGGGGTGCCAGGAACTAACTGCTATGGACCAAATGTTTGTGTCCTCCCCAAATTCATATGTTGGAGCCCTACCCCAGTATGGCTGTATTTGGGGCCTCTAAGGAAGTAATTAAGGCCGAGGTCAGAGGGGCTGGGCCCTGATCTGGCAGCTGTCTGCAAGCCAGGAAGAGGGCTCTCAATAGAATCCAAATTTGCCAGCGCCTTGATCTTTGATTTCCCAGCCTCCAGAACTGTGAGAAAAGTAAATTCCTGTTGTTTAAACTACCCAGTCTGTGATATTTATTTTAGGAGCACAAGCAGACTAAGGTAAGTATATTTCCCTAACTTGAATTTCAGCCAAAAATGAAGCTAAAAATACACAAATTTACACATCAAGTAAATCAAATATAGGCTAATAGAATCCACTCACAGCCTCAGCTCTAGTTGTTTTCATATACAAATATCAATACAAATGCTTTCCACGAACTCTACTACAGACCCATTTTTTTAAAGCTTCAGAAGTCCTTTTTGTTTAATTTTAAATCTAATTCTCTATATATCATAGGGTGAAAATAATAGCAAAATTTCCCACTGTTTTCTAAAATCCACTCCAGTCTCCCAACCACCAAACTAAAGACAGTGGCTTTTCTTGAAGAAGAGCAGGGTGCCAAGGCAGAAACATAAAGTCAGTGAATAACAACCAGAATAACAGCTTACCGAGTTTTCTTTTGTCAAGCTACTACTTTAACATCCAGAGAGAATGGCAGTTCTCATCTGTGAGCTATGCTTTAGGCAAAGGAGAGCAAGTGTCTCACTTGCAAAATCTCAAGAGTGCCTCTGAACATCTGAAGCCAGGAAGGTGGCCACATGTGTCAATTCATTCTATAGCATCATGGGAATCTCTGTGATGGTGGAAGAGATGACTGCTACTCACTGAAGGAGGCACTGCTGTTGCCTACTCTAGTCATTTCCCTTTTCTACTTGCCAATGGAAAGCTGATCTTTTCAGGTGGCATTGTGCCCTCCCCTGGGGGATGCATCTAAGCCCATCTGAACCTCTCCTGCCTACCCAGTTGCCCATGACTGGTTTAGGGATGAGTTTGGACCCACTTCAGGATGACAACTTATAAAGACATTTGCTGGGAGATCCTAGGTAATAGTTCATTCCTGAAAAGAGGAAGGCACAAGAGAAGAAAGCTATTTTGTCTTTCCATCTCTTCTTAGTGAGCTGCCACTTGAGGAAATGATACTGAAGCATGACAACCATTTTACATCCATGAGAGGAAATATCACTGCTGTACTGGGGAGTGGCTAGAATGTGTCCTCAATGATCTGTGCTCTTGACATAGGTAAGTTACCTATGTAACAAACCTGGGGCTATCCATCCCCTCAATTGTTAAGAAACAGCATACATCTAATGGCTCAAGCCACCTTTAGAATGTTTTTTCTTTTTTGTTTTGATCAGCCTAAAACATACCAATGGTGGTATCTCAGAACTATGGTACAATATGACCATGCCTTAGAAATATATTTATCATATTAGAAGATGAACTAAAGTCTTAACATGTTTTGGGGACATATTATGAAGGTTTGGCTTCTCTAGCCCTTCTCCCACAGCTGCTCAAAGGACACAACATCCTTCTGGAATTACAGCAGAAGTTGGAGTGGTTTATGGTGCCGGGAATATCTGGGGGACCCCTAGCTCTTGTAGAACCTCAGGCCACTCTGCTTGTCTAGTAAGTTTTCCCTTTATTCCTACTCTAGAATGACTTCTTGTGCTTCACTGACATTCCTTCTTAGTGCTCAGCATAGGCTCAGGAATGATGTGTACGGACTGGAAGGCTTCCTCAGGGTGACCCTGGATTAGCAACGGCTTTGTTCTGAGATTAAAAAGCAGAACTTAGACCAACTAAGGTTTTGTTGATAAGCATGAGGCTGAGTTTGAAATATGATTAGGTAGGACCACTACCTGAAGACGGTTCAAAGCAGGCAGAGGCTAGAGACAACAGGTACTGATGCCAGCCACCTGCAGTCCCTCTGGCCATGCCCCACCCCCCACCCTCTGCCCAGGGCTGATACTAACTGGCTCTCCAGACACAAGCAGATGAAGAGGAGCCACCACAATAGATGCTTTCATGCCATTTTCCAAATATCCGATGTACTGCTTTTCCACTCTTGTCGAATACTGTACCTTCAATCTCATGGGCATTAGTGCTCCAGTATTTTGCCTAGGATTCAAATGAGACTTCTCTGTTTATATTTTAGTGTCAACTTATTACAGATATTAAGAGAAAAAGAAGGAAAGAGAAAAAAACAAGAATGATTCTACATCACATACAGTTTACAGTTCTGGGTCCCGACTTAAAAAAAATCATGTGTTAATTATTTAATACAAATTATCAGCTAACCCTTTATTTATAGTTTGTAACTCAACAACTAACATTTGTGAAAGATATATTTTCCCCTACTTTTGCTCAGTTCTCACACATCAGCCAAGTGGTGTGAGTGGGTCTTAAGCCCCCTCCCCTGGAACAGATGTTTGACAGCTGTCACTGTGGCTCTGACTATTGCAATTTAAAAGAAATACAACTCTTATAATTTTTTCTCTAAAGGAACTAGACAGTCCTTTGTAAACCAACCAAAGAGGCTGGTTTGTAAACCAATCAATTTTCAGTTTCTTCTATTACTTTTGTCCCCAGTCTAGATCTGTTCATCTAACCCATAGGAACCTTACTCAATTCATACTCACATTGTAAATTGGTCCTGGTCTGAGTGAGACCAGGTCAGCTCAGCTCAGCTCAGCCTTGTGGGTTTTATACAGTCCCACAGGGTGGCCAGCAGAGGGAGCTCTAACTCCCTAGAGTTGCTTTTTTTTTTTTAGCTATCCCAACTATCTTGCTGCCCTAAAACCCTCTACAAGAGAACAGAAAGCATTCATTCATAAATCAAGAATCCTAGTACTATTTGCAGCCAAAACAGAACCCATGTTTGGAAATCATAAAGTTGAGTGGCGTTTTCAGGCCTCTTCAGGTGGTTTCATTTCTCCATTCCACGTCTGTGGGGAAAATGGGAGGAAAGGCAGAGTAGAGCACCATCTCCGGGCCGTATCAGAAATGTAATATTGCATTCTCTAGTCACGTAAAAATGGGAGGAAGGGGAAACAAGCACCAACTAGGCTCTTAGATTTTTTCCGAAGCAACAGTCAGATTTTCTGCTAGAGATACTTGCCAACACGTCCAGTGCTGGCACCGTGGTGGGACACCACAGAGGGAGGTAGTTGTGTCTCCCAAGCGATGTCTGCACCTGCATTCACATTTTCTTTCAACGCCAGAGGCGTATCCAACTTCCCAATTCCTGTCACTTTCACAGCTACAAAAATCTATTCTCTGGTCCTAAGTGAACGACTACCAGGTGGGTGGTAGAAATGTGAGTCACGCACATTTCCTTGAGGAAAATGTTAAGAACTAGATGGCTCTTATCTAGTCTACCTATTCCATGCTGTGTTCTGCTTCTTTTTTTTTTTAATTTTTAATTAAGGTATGATTAATATACACTCTTATGAAGGTTTCACATGTCTTCTGTTTCTTTTTGCAGAGAGCTTAGATGAAGTTTTTAAGGCAGGGTCACTTTCATCTTACTCCAAATCACTACTAGCATTTTATCTGTCCATAACCCAGTTTGATTTCTAGGGTCTAATAAAGAACCCAAACTACCTCTCCATGATGCCCCCGACCAGCTACAGGTGGTGCAGAGATACTGCATGGAATTCTGCAACTAAAACCTAATCTCTTGGCTTGTGATTTTTATCTTAATTAAAAGCAAATGTTCCTTGAGGAGGGTAACATTTTACAGCCATATTAAGCATATGAGATTTTTAAGGGCAAGAGAAACTCTTAAGGAGCAAGAGAAGGTGGAAAGGCACCAATCAAGGCAGTTGGAAAGGTAGCAGACCATTCGGTGCTTTTTGCCTCAGGCCAATCTGTTTATTTATCTATGAATGTTCATAGGCCTCTGCTGTGTGCCAGGCACCATTTCCAGGCATCACAAAGTGAACAAGATTAGACCAGGCTTCTGCTTTTATGGAGTCAGGCATAGTGAGGAGAATGCAGGCAACAGAAAGAAAACAAGCAAACCAACAGTGAGCAAGCTACCTATAGATGTTAATAAAAACTTTGAAGAAAATAGGGAATAGAGAGTGACTAACAAGACAGGGTTGCTGATGGAAGGATCTGGGGAGAGGGCCCAAGCAAGAGGAAATAAGGAGAGAGAAAGAAAACCGATGAGGCCAGAGGACAGTGAAGAAGGAAGAGGATGAGGGGATGCTAGGAGTTGAGGTTGGAGGGGAGTGTGTGTGTGCTGTGTGTGTGTGTGTGTGCACATTTGTGCACATGTACCTGTGCATGTGGTTATGTGTGCATGAGTGTGAGTGCAGGGGTGGGGAGGACAGGCTGTGCAGGGCCTTGTGGACCTTTGTAAGGATGCAGGCCTTATTCAAGGGCAGACAGAAGTTGTTGGAGGATTTTGGTGAAATACAGCATAACTTTCTTTTTTTAATTGTAGTAAAACATACATAACAAAATTTACCATTTTGCCATTTCTAAGTGTACAATTCAGTGACATTAAGAACACTCACAATGTTGTGCAAATACCATCACATATCTCTAGAACCTTTTCAAATTTTCAAACTGAAACTCTGTACCCAACTGGATAATAACTCCCTAGCCCTCCTTCCCCTCAGCCCCTGGCAATCATCATTCTACTTTCTATGCATTTGACTCCCTGGGTCCCTCATAAATATGGAGACACACAATACTGGTTCTTTTGTGTCTGGCTTATTTTGCTCAGCATGATATCTTCAAAGTTTATCCATATTGTAGCATGATGACCTAGGTTTCAGAAGGTCCCTCTGGCTGCAGTGAGGACCCACAGCAGGGGAAGAAGATGAAAGGAGGAAGGCCAAGACAGGCTATGGCCCTGGTCCAGGGGAGAGAGGCAGGGGGTAACCAGGGAGCCCCTGGCATTGTTTGTCTACTGACCCGAAGGCAAAGATAAAATTCCCTGAATACCCTGAGCCCTGAGACCCCAGCTCTGCCAAGGTCTTTACAGAGTCAGAGCTCACAAGGTCACCTGAGTTACCTTTATAAAATTCACTTTGCAGTGGCAGGAATCATCACTCAGGTTCCTGATGACAATCTCTCCATAGTGCTCAATCCATTTCTGCCCACTTAAGATGTTATGGATGCAAGAGGTCACTTTGTTCCACTCAAAATGATCTCCAAAACTAAAAAGGAGGAAAAAGTAAAAGTAACAATTCCCAGAAGAGCCAGCAGCAAATGCAAACACTGTTCTTTTAAAAAATAAGCCATGTAATGAATTACTCCTTCCTTCCTTTCTGAACCAATACTGAGTGCCTAAGCTGCCCTGGGCATTCTGAGCTTCCATGACCCAAGGAGACGTGCCCACCAGGGGGTGACAGCAGTCACACTGGGGTGCTCTGGAGGCTGCCAGGGACTTCAGCAGAAGCTGGTGGTCGCCTGGTCAACCCATTCCCTCCTTTGATAGAGGAGGAAACTGAGAGCCAGAGGTGACTTGCCTAAAGTCACCAAACTAGGAAAGGGAAGTGCCAATGGGAAAGGTTTGGGAATTTTTTACAATTTGCTCTCCTTACACACATACATATTTGTTTCCACACACGTATATTTATGTACACATACACATGTATTTTATGTATATATACATACACACATCTATCTTATATACAAATCTTAAGATCCATTGATCTTAAATCTTTTACAATGAGAAAGTATTCAGATACTACTTTCAGAGCTAAATAATAATTATGAGGACAATGGTAAGAAGACCAAACATTATGTGGCATATATACTATGAACCAAGTATTATTTTAAGTGCTTTACATTCACAACAACCCTGTGAAGTAGGTGGTTTATTATTCCCATTTTATATATTGGGAACTGTTGATCAGAAAGGTTAAGGAACCTGCCCAAGAAGCTGTAATTAGTAAGTGGTGGAGTAAATGTTAAGTCCTGGCAGCCCAGTTCCAGAGGCCATGCTCACAGCCATTTTGCTTTATAAATGATATTAATAATCCCTATAGGATCAAGGCCATATCCTTCATAAAAGGAATAGTGGCAGCAAGGCATGGCAACCAATATTAAAGAAAAACTACCATTCTTAATTTTGTTAGAAAGTGGAAATAAGTTTTAAAACAGCTTCGCTTCCAGGAACTTTGTCCTCCAGGAAGCATTCCCATTTGAGTGAAAGAAAATGCAAGATTATCAAAATGAAGTACATTTGAACCTACTGTGAAACCAACTAAAAGATAAGAACAGATGCTCGACACTACAGGGGACAGTGGCCAGCCATATGCTGTTCCTAAATCTCTGTCTTGGCCCTAAATTCCATGAAGTTCCTAATCACAGAAGAACTTACACCGGCAGAGTCACATGGGTTGTGCCAATGGGAACAATTTCCATGGATTTGCCCCAGAATTTGTTTTTCCATCTCACATCTGAAATGAAATACCAATTATTACATATTTATCAAGAGAGCTAGGTAGATCAAAGAGTTCTTAGGCTGGATAAATGATTAATCACGATACAGAACAATCTCTTCATAATAAAATCCATTGTCTTATGGGATAATTTTCATTCATTTTAAGTACCAACAGAGTACTCAGAACAGAATCAGGGAAACTAAACTTATAATATGAAGTCCCTCCCTTGGAAGAACTCATGGTATGAAAGGCAAACAGAAGTGAAAAAAAGCAATGCCCCCTTGGTGAGGCACAGGCTGCAACTGTGCACACGGTGAGGCGACATGGAGCCCGAGGAGGAGGAGTGACTCCCATGCCTGAGCAAGGCAGCAGAGAAGGCCTGTCTGCAGAGGCCATGTAAACTGGGCCTTGGAGAACAAGCCAGAGTTCACCAGGTGGAGAAAAAGTAATTTAAGGCAGAAGACACAGCTTGTCCAAGGGGACATAAGAGAATATGGTGTAGTTCTGTCCTGTAGGTCTCAGACTGTCTACAGGGAAGAGCAGAAAGATAGACTGAATACAAAAACTCAGTGGGCTCAAAAACCAGGCTAAGAAGTCTGTTTTGTGTGCACTGGGGAGGAAATAAGGTATTGTTTACACAGAGAACTAATATGATTAGACACAGGTTTTGCAACAATGTTTGGGAGCGATATGGAGAATGGACCAGAAGCAGAAATGAAAAGCAAGGTGACAAGTTATGAGGCTACTGTAGCTGCTCCAGGGATAAATGAGGGTGAAGTGAACCAAGACAGCAGCAGTGGGGGATGGAGTGGAAGGGAATAATCCTAGAACCACTAGAGAAGCAGAAATAGAACTGGGTGACAAATCAAATGCAGACTGGTGAAGACAGAGATAATTTGTGGATGATTTCATTTTTTCTAACTTGTAGGAATGGTAGTGCCAACAGGGAAACAGAGAACAGAAAAAAAAATGGCAGAGATGGATGATCCCTCTGATTGCTGCACGAAAATCCACTGTAGGGAAGTAAAGGTGAGAGCAGGGAAGCAAGTAGGGTGCCATGACCATGGTCCAGGAGAGAGGTGGCACTGAGACCAGGAAGCCCCTGGCCAGAGACTGCATGATCCCATTCATACGAAATATCCAGACTAGGCAAATATGCAGAGACAAAAAGTGGATTAGTGATCGCCTAAGGACAGAAGAGTTTGACAGAATTTGGAAGCTGGGGCAGTGAGGAATATTGGCTAAAGGGTTTTTTTAAAGGATGAAAATGTACTAAAATTGATTTAGTGGTAATTGTATAACTCTGTTAATATACTAAAAACCATTGAATTGTACCCTTTAATTAGGTGAATTGTATGGGATATAAATTATATCTCAAAGCTGTTACCCCCAAAAAGTTAATTGTTTAAAGCAAAAACAGTAATAACATATTACAGGGTTTATAACATACATAAATAAAATGTATATCCACAAAAGCACAAAGATTGGGAGAAGGGAACTGGAAGTATACTTTTGTAAGTTTCTTATACTAAACGTGAAGTGACATAATGTTACTTGAAGATAGTCTGTGATACATTAAAGAAATACAATGTGTTCCTAAAGTAACAATTAAAAATTCAACAAGGAGGTATAGCTAATAAGACAAAAAGAGATAATGAAATCATAGAAAGTATTCAGCCTAAAAGGCAGAAAAGAGGAAAGAGGGAACAAAGAACAGATGCAATAAATAACAAGAGGCCACATTTAAACCCAACTACATCAATAATTACAAAAATGTAAATGGTCTAAATAATGCAATAAAAGAAAAACATCAGATTGGATAAGAAAGCAGGATCTGGGAGTCATGGACCTATGGGACCAGGTGGGATTGTCCAGGAAAAGGCTGATGAGGAGGGAAGCCATGAGTAACATAAAGAGCACACGAGAGGTACTTCAAGAAGACTCTTCTGATTACATGGTACGTAACTTAAATGAAGTGCTGGCAGGGTCAATGACACTTAGCGATTAGGGGGTGAGAGATCTTATAAGAATTATTTGCAGAGAGTTTCAGTGAAAGCTAGAAAAATTTCTAATCAAGCTTCAATTCTAAACTTTAGTAGCAAAGATTCAGAAAGGACACTGGTTTTCATAACCTGAACTGGTAACACTGATTTTGCCTCTAGAGAAAGGAACTGGGTGGCTGGGAACTGGGGTGGAGGAAGAGTCTTTACAAAACACTTTTTCATATCTTTAACATTTTATAGATGTATTTTTTTTTAAAAAGACAGTGTGGCAAATCAGGTTTTATTACTGTTAGCAGAGGAAAATGTTTTAAAAGCTGATGTGTGTTCATTATTTGAAAACCTGGGATGCTCAGATTTTTTTTCTATAGTACACACCAACTTTTTAATAAAGAAATACATCAGCAAAATTTGTTAATCCATTTAGGAAGTGTGTGCAAGCCTTACTTACTCTTCAGAACAACCCAGCCCCTCCCAAATCCAAAATATAAACAGAATATAGGAATAACAACCCCAAAGCTGGAAAAAAAAAGTCAGCAATGTAAAATCTAATTTTAGAAATAAAATTTAAATTTTTCAAAGAAAAAAACCCTTCTACTCTCTAGGCTCTAGACAAATAACTGGAAATACTTAGTATCCCTTAAAATATGTGAGGCATTTCAAGCGGCTGGAATAAAAGAGAGAAAAAGTGAAAGGAATAAATGGTGGTAGCTCAGACAAAGAGTGAGAATTTTTTTAAAGGGAACAACTAAATTATTCTCCTGAATCCTTAACTATGAAGTAGACAAGTAACAGTTATTGGTCAGAGATGAGAGCAAGAACACCAAGTGGTAAAAATCCTTCCAACAAGGTAAGTTCAGGGCCCACTTTTGAACTAAGCATTTACAGTAGTTCCTGACTAAAATAAATTTATAATATTACAAAAAATGATGGAGGTCAAATATATCTGCACATTACCTTGCCAGAAAACAAAATTTCCAGACTCAGCATGACATGCAGAGATAGGTGGATGGTGGCTGACCTGATGGAAACAAAGACCAGAAAACAAAAAATTAATTAACTTTGTGTCTCATGAACACCATTCCTTCTCCCTTGCATGGAGATGTAACAATGCTGTGTCTAAATGAATGAAAACTGTTTTAATTTTCCTTTAACATGTCTGTCCTCAAGAGGGTGCTAGTGATACAATCAGCGCCCATTTGCTCAAGTTCACTTAGGGGTGGGTGAGAAGAAATTGAATGAATGAAAGCCTCCAGAAGCCCTGGAGAAAGCAGCCAGTGGTGAGTGATGAGAACAGAGACTCATTCTGAAAGATGTGAAAATAAAAACAGGAACATACAAGGACTGCCTGCTCAGAAACCCTACAATCCACTGGCTACCAATGTCAAAATCTCTGCAGCTGTTCTGAAAGTTCCTATAAACGTTTTAATTAAGAAGTCAACTAGTACATATTTTTAAATGTACAGGTAAGCAACACAAAATGCTCTTTGGCTCGGCAGATTTTACTCTTTTGCAAATCGTATCAAGAAGTTCAGCCTCTTTTCAAATCAGTTACAAAAAGAACGATCTGAGATAATTTTTTGAAAAGAATAGGGGGATGCGGGGATGTGTGAAATAGATGAAGGGAAAAAAACTGGTGGGAATGTCTGACATCTTGATATGAGCAATGGCTACATGAGTGTCTACACATGTCAAAATTCATCAAGCTGTACACTAAGACTTGTGCATTGTATTGTATGTGCCTCAATATAAAAAATAATTTTAAAAAATAATGTTTCTGTAAGAAAAGAGCTAAACAACTATTGAAGAAATGTTAGTCAACTGCTAAGAAAAAGATTTGTTTTTCATTTTCTATCAAGATAAAAATATCTTGAGTAAATAATGCAATTATGTTCTAGAAAAGAGAATCCTCTCTAATAGAGGCAGTAGCACATTCCCCTGCCTTTTGTTGCTGGGGTCATTGTTTCTGTTTTATTCCTAATGAAGAAGCTGAAGAAAAAAATGGCTCCTCAGTTAGATTTTCTTATTATCTTCATAACTCAAGGCACATGAGGGATACACGTAGTTATTATAATTAGTATCAGTGAAATCAAAGTACTGCTGCCAGCAGCATTTCCAGAAATTTCTCTGACTTCACTGGTTCTTAGTAGAATATTTTATATTTAGAGCATCTAGCCCAAAGCCCTCATGTTACAAATAAGGAGACTGAAACCAGAAAGATGAAGTCATGTTTCCCAAATACACTGGTAGAGAAGAAGCCGAGGTAAAAGCCAGCATTTGGGGCTCACAACAATGGTTTTCAGGGGAAGGAATGTGATAAATTCCTAGCCACCCATCTTGCTCAAGACCCTCAGCTGCAATAATCATGACTTGAAAACCATTTCTCTGTGTGCCACTCCTTTAGGTTAGGAACTGCAGGACAGGATATTCGAGTCATGCCATATACACATTTAACTGATGTAATTTTAACTATATCAGCTTAACCCAAAGAAAGTAGAGGCAGATTTAAATAGTGCAGGTATTTTTCAGGTCTCAGTGAACATACATCCTAGATCCAATATGAGATGGACTCTTAAGAATGCAGCACCTCCCAAAGCCTATGGGATTCTCAGGGGTAACTTTCATTTCCAGCACAATTTAGAAATCTAACTCCTAAAATGCAACTAGCCGCTTGCCTTCATTGTCTTCTTTTTAATCCAACTCCTTGAAGATACTTTATATCACAACATGCTGCACCCATCTCTGCCTCCTTCCTCCACCAGCTCTCAGTGCAAACTCTCTGGGGGACTGTTAAACTCTGGGATCCTATAAAACTAAACCAGGGCAAGACAATATCTCCCCACCAACCTCCCCCTACCCCGTGCAGTGGGGGCGGAGCTATGGGATGTTCCCCCTTCCTCATAATGTAGGCATATTTTAAAGTAGAATATTATAAGGCAGAAATAATGTAGTATTATTCCCACAGAATCTATGTAGTAAAAAATATAGGGACCACAGCCTTGATCAGGAATTTGGCATTTTATTGGGAGTGGCCAAATGTAAGCATCAAAGCCAAATACAGTATAAAGCTATAAATCTTTACTGTAATAATTTTAAATTCCATGAAACAGGGATAAATATTCTGTCCATATTAACTATAAAAGAAGCCTTATCATACCATAAAGTATATGTATGTCCCATATGCAACTTTGGCCTTTTAAAACTATTGTGTCCAATTAGTGTATTACTGCTTAGCGAGTGCCTTTAGATGGGCTCAAAGGATGTTTTCTGAATGAATAAATCTCAGCATTCGAATACCAATGATTTTGCTTATTTTATTCTAGCTTAAAAAGGTCTTTGGGAATGATTTATTTGGTGTACATTGCTTTTAAGAAGCTTACAGAGCTTTCCAGGGAAATTAAATTTATGCCTTATTTTTTCTTTGACTTATTTCCTTACAACAGCTATTTGTTCATGAAGTATTTCTGGAGCTTCTGCCATGGGCTGCACTAGCATCAGGGAATGAGGGAGAACTTTTGGAGTCCCACAGATAAGGCCCTAACTGGGCAGTATCACCTTTGGCTGTATGACCTTGATCAAGTTTTTAAACCCTTTGGGCCTCAGCTGCCTCATCTGCAAAACAGGGCTGATACCACTGACTCTGCAAACTAAACACTGATGACAACATGTAAAAACACCAGGGTCATATGCTGTTATGAAGTAGGAGGGTCATTTCTCATGAGTGGTATTTCCATGCAGTTCTCATGGTAACCGTGAGTCTTCATTATGCTTACTTTACAAATAAGGAAACAAATCAAAGAATCATCCCCTGCCACACAGTTAGTGACAAGGGAAGAACTTTAAACTGAGGTCTTCTCATTTCAAATCCAATGCTCTTTTATGCTCCAGCTGCTCTCAAAAGTTGGGCTCTGGTCCTTCCCTAAAGCCTCCGTGCACCATTAAGGTCTCACGGGTACTTAAGAGAAAGAATTTGTTGAGTCTGACCTTTCAAAACTCTTAGTCTCATTTATTTCTTTGTAAAATAAGGTCCATATTTCTATAATGTAATGCTGTAATTCTAATATTTTGATATAGTCTTCAAATTTCACCATCAGTGGTTGCCAGCCAATTGGAAAATATTAATGCTAAGGCTTTGACGAACCTGAATGCTCATAGAAATGGGGTAATTCATGGTTCATAATTTAATCTTCATTGAGGACAATCTTTCTAAAATCTGCTGGAGTAGAGAATAAAATGAGCACAATCTAACCTGTGTTAGTGTGGGATTTGTTGAGTTTCTATTTTGTTCACATTGTAACCCAGATGTAACCCAGAAAGACATTAGATTCTCGAGTTGGAGTTGGAATGGGCCGAGTCCCAGAGCAGACACTCTCTATCAGCCCACTGGGTAAAGCCAGTTCAGACTGTTTTTTAGTATTCTTCTCCATCACTTCCTCTCCATCCCAATCAAATAGGAGCAATTTCTGATTGGTAAGGTTTCCCAAACATTCAGGAAATTAGTAATATGTTGTTTTTATTATGCATGCATTTATATGTATGTTTCTTTCTATAAGCTCAAAGTCATTAAGTCCCTCTGGTGGTTAAAAATTCTTGTCTTCATTTGTGTATCTGAGCTCTTTCTTCACCCTATCCTCATCACTTTTGATTTATGCTTTGAATGCACTTTATACAAAAGGCAGGTGGTAAGGGGGAGAGGCAGATGACAAACTATTTCAATATTTCTGTATTCTGTTATTTTCTTTTTCAGATTTAGAAAAATATCCCATCAATGTATGACTTCTACAGCTTGGAGGAGTTTGTGGGTCATGGCCTGGACTTAGGATCTTATTCCAGGTGACATGGGAGCTTGTTGGAGGGCTGACAGATGTTGCCCCTGTTTGCAGCGATCCCTCTGGATGAGGGGCAAGGGACTGACCATGGGAACAGGAGAGCCGTCCACAGGCAGCTTGGTGGTCAGCACTGCTGACAAGACACAGGGAACGTGGCTGGCTTCAGAAGGAAGGCTTCTGGGGGGAGGCTCCATGCTTAGCTGGTGAACAGGATATGGGTTATCTGAGAAAGTTATTAAGGACGACGCCAAGATACTGGCCTGATTTGGGGGAGAATGCACTCGCCAATTATTTTCTCTTCTCTATGTTCAATTAATCACTTACTGACAAACATGGCTTCTTGCCAAAAACAGAAACAGAAACACATTAAATGATAGCCTAGAAATGGAGAAGCATGGGTTTAGTTCACTTATATTTGACTTATTGCTAGTTTTATTTGAACAGCTTGAATTTCCCTTTTGATAATGTTTTTAAATAAGATATCACTTTAATCAGTAATAAATAACTGTCTATGAGTAGACAAAAGAACTATTTGAAGAGGTGAAGTGAGTGTGCCTGGAGAGACGTGATAGGTGTGGTATTTAAAGTCTATCCAAGAATGTATATCAGAATTCTCCTGATGAGTCACAGAAAAGCAAACCCATAAATCAAAGGAAAAAAGACTTCATTTAGGTTCTCTTGTACTTTAGAAACTTTCACAAGTCCATTTGGCTTTTCTGTCACAAACTCTCCACAGTATGTGGCTGGGTAGGTAAACAGTTACAATGATTTGACAGTGGTCTGACACCAGAAGTTCCAGGTAATTAGGAAAAGACACTTCAAATAATAGCTTAACTGCATATCCTTGAGACACCAAGCCTTTTCCAAAGGCACAAAGAGGGAAGCTTAGCTAACAGAAATGAGTTTTCTGATGCATCTCCAGTCCCTAAAGCTCAGGGCCACTGTTAGCTTTCTGCCAGGCAGAAGGGAACCAAATGAGAACAACCTGCCAGCAGGATACTCAGTTCCTGAGGAGAGAAAGGAAGCCCTTTCTTTCTGAAGTCCCCCTTTTCTGGGCTTATTTAGAAAGCCACGGTTGAATCAGACTTCTTGGCACAAAGACATCTCCTATCCTGAGAAAGTGGAACAGCCAGAGGTTAGAACATAGGCCAGTAATGTTGATGATTTACTCCTGAATGTTCCTCAGACACAAAGGCCACTCCTCAGCCCGCAATGGGAGCTGGGAACAAAGTCCTACAGGAGTTTGGAGGATGAAATGTTTAAGTGACAATGACAGGCAAAATCCCATGATCTGAACAGTATGCAAAAGGCTCTTTTCACATCAGCAGCTGATGACTGACAGCTCTGAGCACAGTAACTAAACCTACACATGAGACCCAAAAAATAGTGAGGAAGCAAGCGCACTGGAATGGAAACAGAGTGTGTTGGCTGAGGGGCACTGGGGGGTGCTAATGGTCTAGGCCTGGGTCTCATCTATAACCGAGCCAAGCCTCACCTGCTACACAGGGGTATTCTGCAGATCAGAAAAGACCCTGTACAAACGCGAAAAGCATAAAGCACTCTGCAACCTCTGCTTAACTGTTAGGGGGAAAAACTGACCAGAAAATGCTTTCTCTGGTTTCTGACCACGTGAGTCATTTTGATACTGCAATTCTGGGTCTTTTAGAAACAAGATAGAAGAGCAGGCTTGTGATGTAACTGAACTCTGTGAAGTGGCAATTACTACATCAACTTCCTTGGCCACTGACCACTTTGAACATCCACATACACACCAAAACCACAAAGCAACAAAACCCAAGGGCTTGAAGGAAAAGGGGACTTGCCAGTTTTCAAGTCACCTGACTCTGATGTCTAGAAAACTCAGGAGAAAAGTCAAGTTACCGTTGTTCTTGTCCAGGTCCTTTCACTCAGAGATATATGAGTCCATTAATGTCCTTGTTAGAATAAAATTCCTCCCGAAAATATTAACTTGGGGGCCCTGCCCAGTTTATTACATTAGTCATTCCATAATCTCTACTCATGATGGAGCTGCACAAGAAAGGAAAAAAAAAGGGTTTGGGCTTCCCCCAAGCCCTGGAGGCTGTAGTTTATCACCTACACACAACGGGTAACAGCATACATGCTATCTCCATACAGGCAGAATGTCTCCTGGGTTGGAAACAGAAAGAGCTACACAGGCAGGTACCAGCATGAAGCAGAATAAATGCTCTAGCACTGTCTTTAGATGTGCTAAATCAGAAGGCCTTCATGAACAATAGGTCAGCTGGTCAGCATAAACAAGGGCAGGATGGGGACTGGGGGGCTAAATGGATGTGTCTCCTGTTGACCTGGAAAAGGAGGGCCCTGGCCAAAATCCTTTCCACGCCTGGGGCAGTGGGCAGCCAGCACATTGAATTAAACAGCTGCCTCTCCTCATTGTACATTCACCTGATGATCACAATTTTGGCTTCTCAAGCAATCTGTCTATGGGGAATGTAAGCCTGGTCATGCAGCAAAGCCTTCTGATCCCCAGGGTAGGACCAGGGCAGGGCTCTTTTTCATAATAAATGCACACAGTAGCGTTCTAGTTTATGTATCAGTCTATTTTAAGCTTAGCTAGTGTGACTTATCCCTGAAAAACTCGGTGTGTCTCTTGGTATATTCTTGGGTGTATTAAAAGAACCAATTAACTGAGGCCACAAGCCTATATTCCAGACAGATGAAGCACCTCATCGTGATCAGAACTGGTGGTAGCACCATGACGAAGCCAGCCGCCATGAGGACTCCTCGCTGTCTCACGGCTAGCTTTCTGTCAGAGACTCACTGGCAACATTATGCCCCCTTCAAACCACTTGAATAGAGTAGACATAGTGTATCTTATTTCTATCTACACTGTTCTTACTACTCTTAACACTGTATATTAAAAAGCATTTTGAAGTCGCCTCTAAATATGAGAGCAATGACCATGTAATGAAGAGTGCAAGTACTTTTTATATCAGTATATTATTTCACTTAAGCCTTACTGCAACCCATGAGCTAAGCATGATCATTCTTATTTCATAAAGAAACAATCGAGGCTCAGGAAGCTTAAGTAGTTTATACAAAGCCACACACAGAGTAAGTGGTGGGGTTAAGATTTGAAAGCAGGTCATTATACCCAGCACACCCTTTGCTACTAACAATGACCAGATCTCTTTCTTGCTTATTTCCTTGGCATCCATTTCATGGAACTAGAGACTAAGTTATGTAACGCTCCTTTCTGTCTCTGTGCACATGTGCCCATGAGCTGTGCTGCCTCTCTCCATGCCACCACTGAAGATACATAAGCAGATACTCAACTTGTCCCTGCCCTGTCTTCAGGGGTTCATGGGATGGAAGCTTAGCTTTATACAAGCTCACATTACTACTCTTTTCTTATACCTATTCATCCTGTCCTGATTGTCTGCTGTAGTCTGGGGCTATTTTTGGTTTTGATGTTTTTTTTTCACATGAGTGCATGTAATGCCATGGTAACCAAATTGTATTTTCATTTATTCTCATTCCGTTTTAGGTTAGTATTTAAATAACCAAGTTGAATTTGCATTAGATTTTCTTACCCTTTTAACTACTGATTTAACCCCTACCTCCCCAACATCAGTATTTCTCATTTTAGCTTCTAACTGGAAAGCTACTGCAAATGTGCTTTGGAATTATTGCATATTCATTTTCCTTTGAGTTTCAGAAACCACTGCTTATAATTTACTATTAAGATAAGCACCATCTTCCTAAGTCTCTCAGCCATACCATCTTTCCCTTCCTACCCCTCAGTAATGCAAATCCATTGATAAAGAGGACAATAAGATAACAAGAAGGAAAACTATATTTTAGCAACCCACCCCTTGTTCCTCAGTTTTCTAATAATTGGAAGAAGAGAAAGGTATTGAAACAATCATGTTTAAGGATTCTAGGCTGACATTTAGGGATATATGGAGGGTGGACATGTTCGGTTGCTGTCTTAACTAGTAGGAAGGTTAAGTATTTTTTTTCTTATCAGTGCACCCTAGTTTACCTAATAATTCTTACTGACAGATATTTTGGATGTTTCAAACATTCCACTCTTGCAAATTATGCTTTCATGGGTCAACAATGACAGCAAACACTCACATAACACTTGATACTTCACCTATCTGACACTGCTCCAAGTGTTTTGTAGAGAGTATCTCATTCTGCTAGTCCTCACAAAGCCATCAGAGGTCTGGACCATTATCATCATCTCCACTTTAAAGAAGAAACTAAACACAGAGTGATGAAGCAACTTGTCCTGGGTTATAAACCTAGTGGCGAGGTTGAGCTAAGATTTGTACCTAGGCTCTGGGGCTCCGGAGACACATTCTTGAATATTATTCTTTGCTAATTCTTAGGTGGTAAGAATCTCCTGGAGCCTCAGGGAACTCAGGCTATCTAAGTATAAAGTATGTCATAAGTATAAAGATATTCTTATCTGCCCCAGCCCCCATCCCATCCCACTGCAGTCTCCCAGAACCAGGAATAATGCCAGGCATGGGTTATATGTTCAAGAAGTATTTTTTTTGATGGAATGAATAATTACATGAATGAATGATTCCTCTTAAATAAAATCACGAATAATGGATTTATTTGATGCTACCCATTCTGATGGGGGCATTCATGCTCTAGAATAGCGATGGGAAAGAGTAATGCTACACACTTTAAACCTCTGAATCACACTTTGGGGAAATGCCTCATACTCTGAAAACGTATCTCACCCTGACTTTAAACAGAAAGGGCACTGGCAATGCATATGGCCAAGTAAATGCTCAGCAATGCTACACCTTTATGCCCATTGGTGGTGGCTAGGTTTCAGTGGAAGGGAAATTGATCCCTCTCTTTATGTGTAAAAGCACTGCAATTATCTCAGTTGCTCTGAAGCTAGTGAGAGGTGGAACATAAATATTTCAAAAGCACATGTAATGAGAGGCATAAGCAACTTCTCTAATGCAAGTGGACAAAAAGAGTGCACACAACAAACACAAACGTATATCCACCTGTTCTGAAAAAAAACGGAAGCCCTTGTCCTCGCGAATACACTCGTACGTTTCTCCAAGAACAGGATTAAAGGGCTTGCTCCCAGCCCGGAAGTAGCTGGATGCGTATGCTGACACAGCAAAGGCTGCCACATACACCTACGGAGAGGAAGGAGAGAACTTCATTATTTCTCTGTCACCACAAAGGTCATGTTTACAAAGACATGAACAAAATAAAACCTTTATTTCTCTCTCTAAGGTTTATTTTGGAAAGCCAAAGATTTGCTTCTGGTTTAAGGACAACCAAACTAACTTAAATATTGTTCATTTTGTCCCAGAGACAAACGAGCCAAACATTTTCAAACTATCCATTTTTTCTGAGGTCTAAAAGTCCATCAACACTTTTAAGATGGTGATACTTACCAAAGAACTACACTGCTTTTGAACTGTTAAGCTGAGTCTAGTAACACCAAACCTGAGAATATCTGAGAATCTTGATTGCACGCTAAGGCTTTCAGAGAGGATGGGCATAAAAAAAAAAGAAAAAGTCAGACTCTTCTCAAAATTCAGGAATAAGCATCCTAAGTTTAACCATTCCCAATTTGATATGTAGAAATCTAAAAACTCATTTTGACAAAAAGAAATCTGTGAGTAATTTCCCATGCCTGGGCAACAAGCCACAGGACAGAGCACAGTGCTGTTTTTAAAAAAAAGCTCTGCTTTTCTGGAAGGAAAATGAAAACCCAAAAAGGAAAAGGAAGGAAAAACTAGAGGTAGACATGAGATGAAGAAGATCCTCATGGCCCTTACTGCAAGGTTCTCAGTATTATCATATCCCCCTTCAGGGCCCTGGAGACATCTTATTTTTTCTTTTTTTTTTTTGCAGGTGGGAAAGACAATAAAAAATTACACCTAAGTCACGATAGTGTAAGTTTCCCTAACACTGGAAAACAATCTTGATGTTTCCTTTGCCCAGCATATTTCATGAAGGTTCATATATTAGAAAAAAAGGGGAATGTCTTTCATAAATGTTTACTAGTCATATCACTTTTCTTAGTCTTTTGCAAATAGGACCCACCTTAACACCTCACACTACAGAACACTCTAGAGCAGCCGGATAGCTTAGAAAAACAATTCACTATGTTCAATTCAGTCTTTGTTTTGAAATCTGTTCCTCTCTCTGCTTCCTCATATATTTGTTACCTGTTAACGGTAGGTTCCACTGTCTATATGGAATGTTGAATCAACCCTGAATCACCTTCACAGGTTAAAATATAACAAAATGTATAAAAGGACCTGANATATTTGTTACCTGTTAACGGTAGGTTCCACTGTCTATATGGAATGTTGAATCAACCCTGAATCACCTTCACAGGTTAAAATATAACAAAATGTATAAAAGGACCTGATATCATAAAGCTGGAGGGAGAAGAGAGGGAGGGAGCAGGCACAATGAAGCATTCTCCTTTGAGAAAGCGAGGGGACAACATGAAGAGAGAACCAAGAAGGGGCTGAGCTGACCCTCCCCACAGTAAAGACAACCCAAGGGAGACAGTTTCTACTCAAAGATTTCCTGTATTTTCCCTTCCTCAAGTATTGTGCTGGAATGCAAAGCCCTTCCTCCAACTTCTTCTCAAGGTCAATTATACCCATCAATTGGCTGACATCCTAAGGGTCTCTAAATTGCCACAAGAATGAAACGCTTTTAAAGAATATTTTCATCTTCAAAGCCAATCATTTCCTTTAAAGAAAAAGAGCTGTCTGCAAATGTGGACATTTAACACTTGCTTGAGAAGCTATCTGCCTCCCTTTGTTCAGCAAAAATTCTCTGGGGAAGAGTAACAAAGAAGATTTTTTAAAAATACACAGCTTGTTTTTCTCCCTTATTATCATTATTATCAAGAAAGTCTCTGATTGGAGACTGTGTGTGGAAAGTCCCTGGAGATTGTGTGTGGAATGACTATGGGATGCCTCTCTTTACCAGTAGTTAGATTTTCCCTTAATCTTCAAATCACTAAAGGAATGAAGTTTATGAAGGTTAAAACTGCAGAATGCTTAGAATTAGGAAAAGAATGGTGTCCTCCCTTAGTGAGAGGGTGACTTATGGACAGCTCTGTGTAGTGGAGGGGGCATGTCAATTCTATTTTAGCCCATCATCAAATGCCCAGGACAGAGACCCTGAATTTAGGGGGAAGACATTGAAGTCCCAGCCTGCCATACAAAGTGACCTTCCTGTTGAGCAGGTAAAACATAAGGAAGCAAAAAGAGGAACAGGCACTCTGTTTTGAAGAACAAAGTCAGCCACAGCCACAGAAAGGGCTAATCTGACCAGTTTTACCACCACAGTAAGTACCCCTACCTAAAGTGATCTAAAAGTGATACTGAGTAGAGAATAGGAGGTGAATTATTCTAGAATGAGTTTTATTTTTTTTCCTCTACAGAATAAGGGGGGAGGATGGGGACAAACAAGCATCTTTCTTACAAGAAAACTTCTTCACTGAACATTATTTTCTGAAATCTAGCTGCTGGTGGGACAATTCCAAAAATAAACAAAAACATTCTCAAGGGAAAATTTACCCTGGACAAGAAAAAGCACTCAAGAAATTAAATTCTGTCCACCCAGGATAGTAAAAATATACACACAGACAGACCTCAAGACATGTTTTCCAGCCAGGTATATCAGAACTATCACATAGAGGTTCTGGAGAAAGACAAAGCACAAAAGCACAGAGCAGAACTACCCCCAGGCACTGGATGTCACAGAGAAACTCCCCAAATGGAAAATCTGACTGAAACCGGTCTGGCAGAGAGGAAACAGATGTCAGAGAAATGAAGCCATGTAACAATTCAAATGAAAACCAGAGAGGACAAGACCCTGGCTCTGTCCAACTTAGCTCTGCCGGGTCCATGAGGCTGGACAGTGCAGTTGGAAGGCTGAATTGCTCACCATCCTTTCCAGGGCACTGGGAACTCGTGAGGCCTTGTCCAGAAGCTCACTGTACTCCAGCTCTTCACAGAGTCTCTGCAGCGTGTTCAGTGGTTCATTTAGCTCCACTGGCATGGCCACTTTAGACAAGTCCTTCCCTATGTTATTTCTTAGAATGTTCCATAGGCTGATGTTGCTGGTGTTGGGGCACGGCGCCGGCAAGCAAGTTCTTCTTTTGGACTTTGCTTCTCCACCACTTTCAAGAACAGGCTCTGAAAGGTAAATAAGCCTGGTGGTCTCTATAAGGCTTTTCACCTTATTTTTATCATTTAAAAAAAGTCCATGAATAATACCTTATCTAGCAGCACTAAATTTTACTATTCATCTCAGTTCTCTAGAATATGACTGAAAATCCAAAAATAAAAAGAATTCTGGCAGCTGACTTAAATACCAAAAATTACATTCATTAAAACTCATGGGCTTTATTCACAGGGAGATCTTCAAGTTCATACTCAAAATCTAGGTCCCTTAGCTTATATACACTTACAATAAAACTAGAAACTGGATTTCTATGCCCATAGCAGGTTACTGTTTATACTTTCAAACTTCTTAAACTCTTTTTAAAATACCACTTCAAATTCTGATAAAAAGTTATGTTTATCATAGGAAAACTATATATATATAAAGGTTAAATAAAAGTCATCCATTATCCTTCTGCCCAGAAATAATAGCCATTTATATTTCAGAATATTTTCATTTAGTGTTTTCTCCATCCATATAGCTGATAATTTATTTCTAGTTTTCTGTTCTGCTTATTAAGTCAAAATAAGTTATATTTCCATGCTATTCAAAATTCTTAAAACCTCACTTTTAATGACAATAAAATATTCCATGCTACAGGATATGCCATAATTTCTGAATCATTAATCTAATGTTAGACTTTTAGATTTGTTTCACTATTTTGCTATGACACAAAAGAAAATTGGTGAATGTTCATATTCTTAGATATTTTACTGTATCTTTGATTATTTTCTTAGGATATATAGAAGTGGGACTACTACATCAAACACAATAAACATGTTTAGACTCTGATTTAGGCTGCTCCTCAAAAAGGTTGTATCAATTTCCCATTTATCAGCAGCATATGTGAGTGTCCATCTCTGGAGGCCTTTGCAGGCTTGTCATCATTCATTTCTAATTTTTGGAAAACTGCTACATGGACAGTATTATCTCCTTATTTTAACTTACATTTAAAAAATAACTCATGTAAGTTTGAACTGCTTTCATGAACATTTCTTTTATGAACTGTTTGCTTTCCTTTTTATATATTAAGTAATAATATTTTGTTTCTCTATTTGTTTCACAACTTAATCCCCCTTTGACATTTACCTTTCAATTTGTTCCCTGTGGTTTTTTGATGAATAAAACACTTACATTTCAGGTATTTACACCTATCAATCTTTTCTTTTGTCACTTCTATTGTTTCACGCTCCTAAATTCTTTTCCCATCCCAACTAAGCCTATTTTCAAGTAAAATCTTTTGCATTACACCAACATATGAGAAAGTGGTATTTTATTTGTACATATTAATTTATTAAAAATAAATATTTAACATTTGCTCACTTAAAGGCAATCACTGAATAAACAGGCTGCTTTGATGAACAAAGAAGTATGAAATGGGCCATACTTCGTAGTTACATGTTAATCTAAGCATCCAATTAATTGTTGAATGCTTTTTTTAAATGATAAACCTGGGCAAAAACCTGATTTACAAAAGTACAAATGACACTAGTTTTTAAGAAGAGTTTTCCATGTAACCTCAAAATATTTTCTTTAATTACACTAATCTAAATTTTGGAAGAACACTGTATGACTATTATTATTAACAGCTAATAATGTATCTAGCTTTTACTTGGTAGAAGCAAGTTTTCCAAGCATTTTATATATATTATCTCACTTACTCTTCATAACAACTTCTTGAGGTAAACAGTATTATTATCCCCATTTTACAGATGAAGAAATTGAGGCACAGAGTAGTTAAGTAACTTGCCTGGGAACACACAGTTCATGAGTGGCAGAGCTGCAGTTAACCAAGGAAATCTAGTCCAGGAATCTCCATTTCTAACCACTTAACCTCGCCACACTCATTAGAGTGACAGATTTTAATATGTGTCTACTGATTTTGGGGGGAAGAAATTAATAGGAAGCATCAAATACCTAACATTTATGATGGGTTCAGAGAAATTCTAGTGTAATAATTTATCAAGACCTATATCTAATCCTATTTCCTTTTGTAGGCCAAACTGTGTCATCAGATGCAAAGGTTATTTCTACATTCTATATTTTCAGTAGAATACTGACATTTAGAAACCTAATCTTCTTCAAAGACTGGAGGACATCTATTTTTTGTTTCCAAATCCTGCCATAGAAGAAAGCTAGTTTTGGCCCAGTCCTCGTTCAAGCTAAGGCAATGTTAGTCAGCATTCTAGCAAAATGACTGTGGAATAAGACAGAACCAGCCCTTACCTTTTATGTGCTATTTTTTCTGACTGGTGACAACTCAGCACAGCTGCAGCCATAGGTTCTAGGGCAAGTCCTCTGTTCCCAACTTTGACAACTGACCCTTGGTCCCTGTGCTCCCCCTGTGTCTGGCCCCCTCCCTAAGGTCTCAAAGAGAAGGAGGGCTTCAGCATTTGTCCATCTTCCTCATGCAAAACAGGAGTGCCATTTAGTGTGTTTTCTAGAAAAAACAAGTAGCTCCTGTATGACTGGTATTCTCCTTGAACCACTGGTTCTCAGACTCTTCCACCAAAGGGTTCATTTCTCCAGAAACATTTCAAGCTAGATAGAGCATAATGAAGCAGCTGACGTCTAGCAGATGTGATGCTGAAAGATGTTCTTTCAGAGGACGGTAAAATTACCTGCTTTTGTTGTGGTCCCCAAAGAGTACACTATTTGGCATTCAGATAACAACTCATAGTCTTCATATTTCATACACACTTACTGAGCAGGGAAGCACTGAAATATCAAAAAGGATCTGACATGGCCCCTGTCCTCTGTGTAGATATGAAATAGGTGGTGCTCTGGGTACTGAATGCATGGCAAAGACAAACCTAGGAACTCTGAGGCACAGTGAGTACCAAGCCTGGGAGTATTTGATGCTACAGGACCCATGCAGAGAACAATCCAATGCACAGATTCTTCTTAAAGGCACCTTCCTAAACAGGCTTCAGTCTACTTACTGAACTCCTGCTGTTTGGGGATGGTCACTTGCTTCAGGTAGCCATAATTCAAACTAACATTGCCTGGGCATTATTTTTCATTCTTGAGATCAACCAATAGTAAAAGGACGTCTTAGGATACCTTGAGGGTCCCTCCTTCTAGGAGGCAATAGGTTTGTTACTTTCAAATGTTATCTTGAAAATCTGAAGCTGAATTACCACTTAGACCAGAACTTGTATTATATAAGCCTTACAGAATTCCTAAATCATGACAACTAGTAGATACTTAAAAATAAAAATCTATATTCTAATATGTTTTTAGAGAGAATGTGTGATCACATAAGAAATGTCTGTTGCACTAAATTTTTGATATTTATATGATAATTGGTGTAGCCCTTACTTTATAAAATAGAAATTTGCACAAGCAGAAAATTTATTTGAAGGAATACACTTTTTACATTTGAGTTCTGTCTCCCCACCTAGATTATGAAACCTCAAGAGTGGGGACCATGTCTTAATTTTCTTATATAGTACTTGCTTCAGTTCTCTGTCACCAGCAGGAACTCCATATATAGTGTATTAGTATTCTGTGAAGATGGAAACTCTCAGAGATCAAATAATTTAAATCTTACCCAAGGTCTGTCTCTCATTATCTAAATCATTACTGAGATTGTCTAAGGAAAGGTTATCACTTATGTCACTGACATATGAATCATCCTCAGAAATCTATGGGAAAGGAGAAACAATATACATTAGAGCAAGAACAAGCCAGATTCATAAAACCTTTAGACCAAATCATCAAACATTTTGAAACCCACATTGCAAACTCAAATAATTTTGGATGCTGTTTTCATAGAGACCCACATACCAGTCTGCCTAGGTGTTCACAGCAAACACCTGTTATGAAAATTGTTATACCTTCTTGACTCATTCTCACTAGTAAACTCAAGATTTTAGTTAGTATAAAAATTCTTATTAATTTAGGCTGCATTTTCAGTATTTTTTGGTGTTTGGGTAAAATGAGTTATGATTTGTCTTTGAGCTACTTGTGAAAAAAGAAAAAAGAATCTTCTATGGAAATTAATAAACAAGATTAGTACTTCTACACTGGAGGGGTAAAATTATCAACACACATTTACACACAGCAATGCAAACTATAATACCTGTTTATTTAGGAAAATATGATTTTTATGCATCAATTTAAAACATTATATATATCAATGACTTATTATAATAACCATGTTAGGATAATAATAATAATATAATAATTATATGTTATAAGTTAATATAAGTCAAATTCAATGATTAAAAAATATTCAAGAGACTGTTTTCTGGCACTGTAATAGAAATATTACATTATCAAATAGTTAATAGTCAAATCATTAACCCATAATTGAAGTAATAATAGAAATGAGGAAGTGCCTAACACCTTTTACTTTTGCATCGCCCCTAAGTTCTTTTGCTCTTTGGTGTATAAGTTATAAGATGATCCTTATAATGTACGGGTAGAAAGGGACTGTTGAAATTAGTGTTTGTATATACAGGTATTTACTGAAGGGGTAAAGCAACAAAAGAGATTTTGAGGCACCTAACTGAAAACAGTGCTCAAACCTCATTTTCTGAAGAGCTTGGCGATAACAGAACTTCTTGTGCATCAAAGAACTCTGAAAGGGAGTCAGTGATGGAGAGTCTACTTTCATTGGAAAGCTGATGCACCAGAGCTCGGTTGTCATCTCTGGAGTTTTCCTATTTAAAAACACAAAAACAAAGATGCACATATTTAGAAAGAGTCTCAAGAGAAGCAAACAACTGATTTCTTTGCACAATACACAAGGTCACAGGCCCATGCAAACAAGTGCTCAAAGCAGTGGTCAGCTCCAAAGTTGAATAGAAGCAAACTCGACACAAAGCGAAATGAAAAATGCAGGTCTCCCCAACACGGGCACCTCACTTGCCAGCACTAACACTGCTCAGGCACATGCAACACATCTCAAAGCAAAATAAGACTGTCCAGGTCAGTCTTTGTTACATTTAAGAGGGAAAAAAATCCAACCCTCTCTGAATCATATCCTCTTATTCTCTACCACTGCAGGATGTTTCTTTTCATCCTAAAATTCTCTCTGAATTGTAATTAATGCATGTCTTTGCATGGCTGGTTCAGAGCAACACAGCTTTCTTCTGTCTCCACGCTGCCAATGTGCTGCTTTTGAGGTGTCCCTTGACAAATAGTGTGTTTTCGTCCAGAAGTGCCCCTGGTGGCAGATCATTCATTATTCATGGATGAATGAGATAAATTCTCTGTCCCTCTCTCTCACCAACCACAAAGACTGCAGTAGAGTCCCCTTTCTGTGCCTCTCTACAAACAACACAATGGAGTATCACGATTTTCTCATCTTGTATGGGCCTGCCATTCCCTACTTCACTGGGTCGAGACTTTTCCTTTGGGAAGGACCTAAATACTTTGGGATGTGCTTCCTATGTAACATGCAGGTAAAAATACAATTCAACTCAACAAACCGAGCAACTGTCTTGTGCTGGCCGTGAAGGGATGCAACAATGAATAAGACAACATCTGGCCTGAATGAGTGGGGCAGACAATGTACCCCAACATTCAAGACCACGACTGTGGAATAGGAAGGGCTATGGAAGTGGAAAGGAAGGTGAGACTGATTCTCTTAGAGGGCCCTTGGTTTGGGGAGGGCTTCCCAGAAGATGACACCTGAACACACCTTGAGAAATGAGTTTCAGGACAAGATAATTCGATCTCTTCCAATCAGAAAAGATTGTTGCCCTGAACTTCCTGACATTTCACATTTCTCACTAGGCTGATAAAGGACCTGCTTCTGTATCATTATGTGTCTGATAAATGTATCCTGAATAACTGGGGGAATAAAAGTTAAGGCAGATTATGACTTTCCAAGAAGTTTCTAAATTTAGGACATACTCCTCAGTCTCATAAACAAATTATACCTGAGATGGGGATGCTAAAACAGGAGGGCCACAACATATTTCAATAATTAGTAATTAGTGGTCCCTTTACAAAGTGTTGACTTCAGGAGCATATTTAAATGTGTATCCCATCCTTTTGGATTCTTCCTACATAAAATAGCCAAGGTATTTGTTGAAAGAGCCTACTCATTTTAATACTCATACAGCCTCCTGAAAAGCAGGCTGCTTCTCTGCCCTAACAAAGAGATCACTTTAGGATCTGTAAGTATCACAGCTGTCCCCTTCAAGGGAAAGGTCTCTTTTCTCAAAAGAGCAGACGCCATGGTGAATAACTGAGCTCCTTTAATGTGCAGTGAAACAACAGAATTGTCCTGCATCTTTGGTGTGTCAATGCCAAATAAGACTCTAATGATTTATTTACTTATTCTACTCATTAATTTATTACACACTCTTGCAATCTTCCTCCTCCTAGACCAAAGGGCGAGAGGTTTTCTTAGCTGATCAGCAATGAAAATAACACACCTAGCCCTAGCCTCTTCCAGTGTTCCACTCTCTCAGAAACTTATTAATACCCACTGAAAATTCAACCAGACTACAGCAGCCACAAGCCCCCAGCACAACATCTTATACACGTAGGACCTCGTTTATTAAAACATCAACCTAGTCAGTTCAATTCGTAATTTTCCCACAAATTTTTAAGATCTGAGTGGTTGTTTATCTATTTTTTACATTGAAAAAGATAAACAGAAAAGCAAAGGTTGGGAAAACTCATAATCCTATGACACTAAAACAATGTCTATAAGCATTTTGACATTTTTCTCCCATTCTTTTTATACATAGAGCTTTGCTTTTTGTTTTGAAATAATTGTAATAATATATGTGTGTATATGTATATATAAATATATAAACTTCCCCCAAACAACACTGTATCATGATTTTTTTGATTAACATTTGTTCTGAAGGTGAAGTAATATGTATTCAAATTAGAAAATACATAAAAATGTAATTAAGTTACACTAAAAGTCTCATCACCCAGCTGTGGCTCTTATTAACCTGTTGGTATATTTTACCTTAAAATATTTTATGTTAAAATTAAAACTATATTAAAATAATGTAAAACATTATATTAAAATACTTAATATTCTTAATAAAAAATACGTATATCTTTTAAGTTTGAAAAACTGAGATCACCCCATACATAGTATTTATATTGTCTGTTCTTTCATTTAACATTATTCTGTGAACATTTCCCCAGGCTGTTAAGTTTTTTGAGACAATGAGCTTTATTTGGTAGATAATATTTTATTATATATAATAACCATTTCATTTATTGGAATAACCACAGAATAACCATTTCACTTATTGGAGATTAAGGGTGTTTCCAAATCTGTAAAGATGGTGAACATGTTTGTAAATATATCATTGCTTGCATCTCACTATTTCTTAGAATCAGTTCTCAGAAGTATAATTATTAAAAATGTTTAAGGCAAAATATATATATACCTAATTACAGGAACAAATAAGAGAACCTCTGCTTTCTCTGCATCTTTAAGGGCATGGAATACTACAATTTAGAAAAAATGTGTGCTAATTTGTCTTAATTTTAATTTCTTCTTTAACAATTAGGATGAACATTTTTGCCTTTCTAAAAAATGAGCTATAGAGGTATCAATATGTGTCGGGGGAGGGTAGGCCAAGGAGCATGGGCCCTCCCTCAGCATTTCTTTGCACAGTTTTATGAATTTACAAGTATTAAAAAATGGGAAGTAGAAGAATAAAATCTGCATTTGATTTTTCTGGTGAATTGTGTCCTTTTTCCCATTTATCTGTTGTAGTCTTAAGTTACTTGCTATTACTTATTAACTATTTACATATTAAAGACATTATTGCCTATTTAACATTATCTAAGTCTATCGTTTTCACTGAAAATTTTTTTCTAGTCTATTTGCATCATTTTTTCATACATACCATTTTTTTTTCAAAAAAAAATTCAAATCTTACCAACATATTTTTTGTAATTTTTTCTATTCCTTCCAAATTTAGGAAATCGGCTCTACGCTAGCCATTTGATTACTATTTAAATCAATATTTTGCAGTTTGTGTTTTTGTATTTAACTTTAATTCACTAGTGATTCAATTTAGTGTGTAATAGAAAGATTTAAACTGCTCCCCAAATTGCTTTTGAGATATGCCAACTTTATTTACTGAACAAGCCATCCCTTTTCCATTGTCTTTTGAGACTCTTCATTCATATATTTATTTATTTTATATATGAAATGGTGTTTATGCCTAGGATAGTTATTCTGTCTCATTCTCACACCAGCACCACCATATACGCACAATCAGAGCTTCTCTCTGTTATATTTTCTGGCTTGGCATGTCTTTCCCTCACTTTTAGCACTGAGAAAATACATGCTTTGGACTCATTACATATGGATTTAAATCCTATGTCTGTCTTTTACCAGCTGTGTGCCCTGGTGGGGAGCTATTTAATGTCTCTGGGCTTTAGTTTCCTTGCCTCTAATATGAAACTACGATCACCTACCTCACAGAGTTGTGGTTAGAATTTTGTGAGCAAATGCATTCAAATGCATACGGAATATAGCTATCAGACAGGCAATTGAAAGAATTAAGTTCCCTTCTTCTTCTTCTTCTTCTTCTTTAGACTTTTCTGTTAAGTTCTTGCCTACTTAGTCTCTTAAGTGGACTTCAAATTTAGTAGCATGTTATCCCTCAAAGTGACTTAGCCTTTCATTTGGAATTTAAAATAATATAAGAACTAATAAGCTGGTAATATTAAATGTTCATAATCAGAAATATAAAGCAGGAGGACTTGATAGCATGTGGGAGTAATTCCTCATGGGAGAGGGGATATTTAAGAATCCAAGCAGCCAAGTCCAACTCCAAAGGTGGGAAATGTGTACAATTAAAGGGAAACAGAAGGTAAGCAAAGAAAGTGAGGTCCTAGAACCAGGGCACTGGGCTGTGCCCCCCACAGGAGCTGCCAATCCCTGACACAGGGTCTGAGGTGCCTGTGTGCTCCCTAAGAAAAATAAACTGCAGTCAAGTTTTCAGGATCTGGAGTAACTATTTCCACTCACTCTCTTATTTCCTGAAGACAACAATGGCTCTTCCCTTACTTGGAAAGTCAGCCTGAGTCACTCAGTGAAAAGCAGAATAAAACATGGAAAACAGAAGATCACAGATAGAGGAACTAGATCAGTGAGACACCTGCATCATCAATTCAAGACTCCAGAAGGCTGTCTTGGAGGTGTAAGTTTGAAGGATGTTATCGCTTCTCCTCAAGGACAATTTACAGCATTTAAGCTTCAGGTACATTATCTGTGAGATCAGTTTAAAAACATGCATTTTAAAAGACTTGTGATTTTGGTTTCCTTTCTAGAACACAAATAGCCCCAAGTATACACACTGAACTTAAATTCATAAAACCATAAATGAAGGATCAACATGTAATTAGGCAATAATGCCACTTAAAAGGTAAGTACTGCCTGGAAACAGGCAGGAAGCCCTCCAGAATGTGACAGAGTTTGGCAGTAGACAATCCTCAGTGATGGCCAGTCATGCAGACTGGGTCCTGCTTTAGCAAACGTGCAGATTCTAGAGAGTCCATCTGTGAGCATATTTCCTTGCCCAGGCCTAAAATGGAGGTCATCACAGGTCACAGTTAGGTTGTCAATCCTGCAAGTAACCCAGTTCCGGTGTGGGCTAAAACGACTGAAAAGATCTCTTGTTGGGGGTGAGTGTGAAGGGCAGTGTGATAGTCAACCACTGACATATGTCTCAGAAGTACTAAGAGGCCTTGCAGCCACTGCAGAGAGAGCACATCTCCCTCATCAGAAGACAGGGCCCCTGTCAGCAGGTGGCAGCACCTCTAATTCAAATGGCTGCAGATGAGGAGGCCTCACAGGCTGTGCACTTGACTGCTTTCAGCCTCTCGTACTCTCATCACCTGACACACAGCTTCCCAGGGAGTGAAGATACTGTGCAAGGGTTTTGTTTTCTTTTGAGGACAGGAGAAGACAAAGATAGGGTAAGATTAAACATTAGAAACTCGTCTAACAAATTTACACACATACCTTCTTGTCTTTTACCTTCCTTATTTTTATTTTAAATGTACTATGCCTAAGACATTTGTTAATGAAAAACTTAACACAGCTGTGGCAAGCATGTACCATAAGAGATATCTAAAGCCAGTTTTAACCTTCACTACTTTTTTCTACTTATTTTGCAAGTACTCCACTCATATTTTTCTGAAATTTCTCAGTTTAAGCACATTCAAAGAATATTTTGAATTAACAGTCCAAGTCTTGAGAAAAGACATTTTTAACATACTATTAACTGAGACACTTTAATTGTAACACAGTATTTTTTTCCCTCAGAGGGTTCAGCTATGCTTTTTAAAAGAAAAAAAAATCACAGGAAAAGGAGTAGGGAACAAAAGGGAGAGTGGCTCTCACAGAGGGCACAAAGGACGCTGGCAGGTAGCTGGGATGCTATAGGTCAGAGAAAGGCAGAGTCTTCAGAAGTGACAGGAGAAAATGTTTGTCTTTCTGCAGTTCCCACTCCAGTAATACCTAGTGAAAAGGATGATACTTAAGAAGAAAATGGGTAAAGAAATACAAAGGGACAAGGAGTTCTGGGGGGAAAAGCAGTTTTTAAATGCAGTTAGCAGCATACTCAAGAAAAACATCAGACTGCATGACTCCCAGCCTCTGCGGCAGTTGTGGGAGCACCACTTACAAAGGGAAAACAGGGAAACAGAGTGGCTGGACAGAGAGGGCATCATGTGAGGGGTGATGGTCGCAGACACATTACCAGACAAGAAGCTTTACCCACCTCTGCTAGACTGTCACCCAACTTGGCAGCTGCAGGGGGGTCAAGGAGCAGAGACACAGCATGGATTCTGCATAAACGTTCTTTAAGATCTGTGTTTTGTGCTAGGGCCTGGAACATGTTAAAAATAGTGGGGCTCTGTTAATGAATGAATGTTTCAGAAAAGCACAGTAGTGAGGGCGCCCGAGGGGGCATTTCCTGGGCTTTTGCTTGAATGCCATCCAATGGGACATGAGTTCTGAGATGCTGAGAGGGGAAAGGATATTACTCTGCAAGTAGTGGCCCCTCCCTGACCACACTCCCAGCGATGGAAGGAGGGGTTAGTAAAGCTCTCCTTTTGGTGGAGAAAGAAATCACAAACATGTCAGCTCTGGTTACAACTAAGGGTTTCCTGGCCCCTCCTCATCCCCAGAGAGGCCAGATCCCTCCCTACTGATCCCAAGGTCCTCTCATCTTCAAAAGTGAGGCTGGTCCCACCCTTTGTGGTTGGACATATTTTAATGTTGTTTAATTTTCACACTAAACTGGATCTTAGAAAATGTACTAGAAAATAGGATTTTGTGGGATTAATTTCATTATTTTCCAATTGTTTTATTCATTCTTCATGACTAAGTCATTTTATTTAAATAATGTCTTAAATAATAGCAATAATAATTATTATTATAACTAACTTTTACTTACCTGGATAAAGGCTAAGAACCAGGGTCCTGGGGCTGGGGGGTATATGAGATGTGAGCACATGTAAGCCCACACCAGACCTCTTTTATTTCTCCCTGGGCAGGTCTGATTCCCTATCCCAACCTCCCAAGTAGGAATGAATGGGCTTGAAGGTAAAGAAAGATGTTTCCTTCATGCTGACATCCTTTGTGCTCCATGACCAACTGTTCTCCAAATGATGCATCTTTGGGAAGGAAAAGTCCCTGAATGTCCCCCTAGACCCTCTCAAATCAGCTCCCCAGGTGCTTTCAAACATATTCATCCTGTCTGTCTGTCTTCCTGACTCTCTTCCAAGAAGATCAGAACCTTTCTCATCTATCAGGGCCCACAGGGTCTATCTGCTGAGAGCACAGAAGGATGTAGCGCTGTCTATTCCAGTGCCTGGAATTCAAACAAGGATTTTGGCTTTACTTTTTAGTATCCATGCAAGGAATGGATTTAGAAATTCTTCAGCATCATTTAGGACATAGTAAACAAATGTTTCTTAATTCATACAACTATATGTATCAATTTCTTCCAAAGTAGAATAAAGTGATGAGCAATCACTTTATTCTGGCCAATATTTTGCTGGTATCTTAGCTTAAGTGGCTAGAATCTATACCAGTGGCTAGAATCTTAATATGGCCTGAAAAATGTGTTATTTTTGTAGCTTCTCCTTCCTTTGTAAGCCACAGATAGAAAAAAAGGTAAATACATATCTATGTTGATAGCCCTGAGATGACTCTAAAAGTTTTATTTTTACAAAAAGTCTTCAGGTTTAATCAGGAATCTAAGCCAAAAAGGAATGAAAGGATCACCCTGTTTTATGTTGAGTTTCCAAAACCCTGAACATGGATGAGAGTGAATTCCTTAGTGAAGGTAAGAACTTTGGCCTAGTGCTCCATGGCCAAATGGGTCTCAATGGCCTCTACCAGAGAAACATTAACAACATGAGGCCAGACCTCCATGGGAGGAGGGCAGGAGAGAGGAAGCCCAGAATGAAAGGGACGTGGGGGAGCCCCACAGAGGTACCTTCTAGAGGCACTAAAAGCCAACCTACTGGGGACAATAAGAAATGCTTTTACCACTACAAAATGAACTTAAAAAAACACCAACCACCTTGCTTCTCTCAAACCAAAGTAGTAACCAGTGTACAACTGATGGTCCACTACAATCCAAAAGGGGGTATTTCTTTTCTGACCTGAGAGAACTTGAGCTCCTCAAGGCAGAGACATTAAGACTCTGTATATGGAGTTAAGACTGTTATTTCAAAATTTTTTTCAAAGATAACACATTTGGAAACAAGTGAGTAAATATTCATTAAGCATTTTACAATAACAATATATACTACTAGTAATATATTTACCATTAATATTACATGAAGAGCATTACTTTTTTTTCTCAGTAACATGATGAATAGAAAACATGAATCAATATTCACTAATTTTCTCAAAGCCTGAACTGGCTTCTGCAAACAAGACCCTAACATTTCTCTCCCCCACCTGACCCTCAGCAGAAAGTTCAGTATTGCTTCAGATGGCAATTTCACACATGAGCACACTCTCTCTTTTTATAGCAGGAATTACAAAGGACAAGCAAAAAATAGGAGCAAATAAGTAAGATATTTTAAAAGTTCTCCACCTTTTCAACAGATACAGAATAAGGAACCAAACAACATCTGCTATTCAAAACAGAGTTCTAGGACACTGCATTTCAAATGGAGCCCAACTGGAATCAATAAAAAAAAGGAGAGAGGGAATGACAGAACATCTTACTGAAAAACACTGGAAGCTTGACAGTGATTTCTCTGTTGTTCTCAAGTCATAATGATTATAACTCATTTCTTTGTGCCCATAGGGGGAAGAAAACTGAGTATTTTGTACTATCAAATAAAATAAAATAACTTTCAAGTCTTTCAAAGAGTAGTAACTAGGATCAGCACTGTACAGCAGGGAAGATACGCATGTGAATTCAAAATTTTACTCTGCTGTCATTTGGAAAGTCAATCTAATCTTGTTAAGTTTTATACACAGAAATCTCCAAACTGTCAGATTTTGTAAGCTTTAACAAACACCTGTAAGACATAAACAGACACACAACAAAAGATTTACAGAAACAGAGAAATCAAGATAAAATAGGAAGAAACCAAAGTATCTAATGCTCAATAAAATACTAGCTGTTAAAATTTGGGGTAGCCTCAGTTTTGGTGTTCAGAGGAAGTAGATCTGATGAAAGTTTAGAATATGATTTGGTTAATTTGCTTGGTTTTCTCATGAATTTTCAGCACAACCATGGAAATCATTAATTTTTAATGTAACCATAGATGTGGAAAATAAGAAAAATTCATGAGCCTGGACACACTGTCAGGCATCTCTGTGACACAGACATGTGACTTACGGATGACGGGGCGAGCTTCAGACCAATGACCTGGGCAGAGGGGGAGGAGGCGACATCCTGCTCCATCAGCTGCTTCAGTTTCTCTCTCTCCGTTGATATGGTATTAAAAGCTGACCTTAAAGTGAAGTAAACTATAAAAATATAATTGTTACAAAAAGGAACACAGGAAGAGGCATAATTAAGAACAAGATACAGAGAGATATATTTCTTATAAAAGAACTTAGAAAAATAACAGCCCTTAATATTTTGAGTACAGAAAATGTACACTCTAAATTGACTTTAAAAAAACACACCTGGAATGTACAACACTAAGAGTGACCCCGGTGTGAACTGTGAACTATGAGTGATAAGAATGGACATTTGGGATTTTAACTGTGAGGAAGGTTGTGTGTGAGTGTGTGTGGAGTTGGGTGGGGATGAGTATAAGGGAATTTTCTGTACTTTCTGCTCAATTTTGCTGTGAACCTAAAACTGCTCTAAATATAAAGTCAATTTAAAATGTAAAAATCACATATATTAGTCAATTCCAAAGCCAATATGCACTATAAAATTTCATGATTTTATGACTTATCATCAAGACATTCTAACACTTGAAATGACTATACTTCTGAATTTCAATGATCAAGATTTAGTTTTGTTTGTATCCCCCAAAGACTGGAAACGTTTGAAAGCAAAGCTTATTGGTTGTCAGAGGGAAAATGGTAACAATGCAGTGGAGAAACCAGACACCACCTTCATCCAGGTGGCCAAAATTAATCACCCGTGAATGTCAGATGGACTCTGTATGCCTCTAGGTCTAATAACCTGAAAACGGCACACCATTGTTTTTGTTGTACTCTGGCTAGGGAAACACCGTCTGAATCTGAGAATGAAGAAACAAAAGACAACCCCAAAATGAGGATCATCTTATTTTTTTTAATTGTCCTGTAATCTTCGAAAGGGTCAGCTTCATCAAAGAGAAAGCCAGGCTGAGGAACTGTTCCCAATTAAAGGAGACTAAGGAGACATGACAACTAAATGCAGGATGTGGCCATGGACTAGGTCCTGTACTAAAGGGAAAAGTGCTATTAAAGGACATTATTGGGATACTTCATAACATTTGAATACCCAGAAGGTAGAATAGATGAAGTACTGTTTCAAGGCTAAATTTCTTGAATTTCATAACTGAACTGTGGTTAAGTAACAGAATATTCTAACCTTAGGAAATACACACTACACTACAAGGCATAAAACAAAACATGGTGTATGACTCTGCCTCTCACATGAATAAACATTAGGAAAAATAAATGTGAAAGCAATAGCATGCATACCCAAGTACATGTGTGTGTAGAAAGAAAAAGATAAAATAAATATGGCAAAATATTTAAAATGATGAATTTGGGGAAGGTATATATGAGAGTTCGTTTTATTATTCTTGCAACTTGCCGGTAAGTTTGAAATTATTTCAAAATGATGAGTACCTACCCTCCTCCTTGTTAGTCTTCTAGCTGCTTGATCCTGACTGAATTCCCCACCTCTGAACTTAGCATTCAGCGACTCTGTTCACTTCAGTGAGCACTCTGGTACAGTGACAGCTTAGCACTCTTGGGTGCTCAGATGCTGAACTGAGGTTTTAAAAATCATTAATAAAAAATTCATCACCTCATATATTATCTCCTAGAGTTGAGGAAACTGCCATCTAAATTAATGATCATGGGTATCACATTTGAGTATTATCTTTCCAATCTCTTTTATCATATTTTGTTTTAAAGGGTGGGAAGAAGGAAGAGATGGAGACATACTTCTCAAGTGGCCTGGCATATTAGTGGATTCCAAGGGATTACACAGTTTTAGAGGTTTTGTTATTCAAGAGTGGCCTATTCAGCACCACATAACCTAACGTGCATTACTGACTTTCCTCATTTCACAGCCACAAAGAACAAATGAACTTGTTTAATACAGGTTGTTGCTGAACTTGTCTGAAGTCGTAGCATTTAGTGATGGATTTAGAACATCTCCACAAGTCACGATACAAATAAGCAATTTGTTTAAACACATAAACACACACAACTCATGCTGCTTCTGTCGACAGAAGGCAGGCGTCAAAGGTCCACAGGTACAAAAATGTTCTAACAATGTCTATGAAACATACTTAGCTTTAAATCAAATGTACTTTGATTTAAATGCCTCAATTGAGTAAAATAATGAGCAGCACAACGGAGTGACCAATAGTGTCTGCTCCAAACCAGCCCTGGATTCTTCCCAGCTCCATCGCTGACTCACTGCATGACTTTGGGTAAGTATATGATGACCTGAACTCCAGTTTCCTCATTTGTAAATGGGGATAATAATAACATTTACTTTATAAGATCATTATGGGGATAAAATTAAGATTATGCAGGCAAAGCACTTAACCTAATGCATGGCATATAATATTACTGCAGTAATAATAGTGATGGTGATGAAAAAGACACATGAGGATGAAAGTGGTGGTGACTGCTTTCAGTCATATTTCAAGAGAAATATGCGCAGCAGTTTTCAGAGGTATTTTAGTGTCTTGCCAGGAGAATGCTTATAAAATATTGCATGCAAGGCAGAGGCTCTAAGAATTAGAGATGGACCAGAATCTATTGATGAGAACTAAAGCAGCCTCAGCTGTGGAGCAACAATTCCCACAGTTAACTCACTGAACTTTCTGCTCTATTATTAGATAGATACTCCACTCCAACCTTTCCAACTGCACCTATACCTACGCCCATCTGAGTCGCTGGGGGAATATTGACTCACATTGTGTGTGTGTGTGTGTGTGTGTGTTTAAAATTTCCTTTTTAGTAGTTTATTATTACAACTCTTTTTTTAAATTGAGGTATAATTGATATTAATACTGTATTCATTTCAGGTGTATAACATAATGATTTAACATTTGTGTACACTGCCATGTGATACCACAATAAGTCTAGTTAACATCTGTCACCACACAGTTACAAAAAAAATTGTTTTTCACTGTCATGTTTACTACTCTAAATTGAATAAATGTGGTACTCAGCTGGCTGCCACTATACCAAATCAATTCCTCTAGCTTTCAGATGGCCTGCAGTAAAACAAGGCATTCAACCAAACTAGAAAATTCTTATTAAAAATTCTCAGTTGGAAGAATATACACTATTTGGTTCAAATGTATAGCTGACAAGACTATGGCAGACATAAAATAAGGAGAAACAAACTCATACAATCATTATATTTAATTTTTTAAGGTAAAAAGTACTTTTCAAACCACCTTACAGGGGGACTCTGAAGTCCCTTAAATTTCTACACACTATATTTCTTAAATGACTGGTTAGGCCCAATTATAGGACATTAAAAATAGTTATACACAGCTCCACATCACAAATTATCAGGGAAATACAAATTAAAACCACAGTGAGATATCACCTCATACCAGTTAGGATGCCCAACATCCAAAAGACAAACAACAACAAATGCTGGTTAGGATGCTGAGAAAGGGGAACCCTCCTACACAGCTGATGGGAATGTAAATTAGTTCAACCATTGTGGAAAAACTAAAAATAGAGATACCATTTGACCCAGGAATTCCACTCCTAGGAATTTTCCCTAAGAATGCAGGAGTCCAGTTTGAAAAAGACATATGTACCCCTATGTTTATCACAGTGCTATTTACAACAGCCAAGATACAGAAGTAACTTAAATGTCCATCAGCAGATGAATGGATAAAGAAGATGTGGTACATATACACAATAGAATATTATTCAGCCATAAGAAGAAAACAAATCCTACCATTTGCAACAATATGGAGGGAGCTAAAGAGTATTATGCTCAGTGAAATAAGCCAGGTGGAGAAAGACAAGTAGCAAATGATTTCAGTCATTTGTGGAGAATAACAATGAAGCAAAATTGAAGGAACAAAACAGCAGCAGACTCAGAGACTCCAAGAAGGCACTAGTGTTTACCAAAGGGAAGGGGCTGGGGAGGGTGACTGGGGAAGGAGTGAGAAGGGGATTAAGGAGCTTTATAATTGGTATACATAATGTAGGGGGGGGGTATGGCGAAGGCAGTATAGCAGACAGAAGACAAGTAATGACTCTATAGCATCTTACTATGCTGATCGATAATGACTGGAATGGGGTGTGTGGGGGGACTTGATAATATGGGTGAATGTTGTAACCACAATGCTGGTCATGTGAAACCTTCATAAAATTGTATATCAATGATACCTTAATAAAACAAAACAGTTATACACAGAGGAACAATTATAGGCTGGTCGTGGAAGATAATACTTATATTAATTGTTAAAGACACAGGATCCCAGAAGTCAGGAATATTCTCTGTGACATAAGTGTTTTCACTATAATTTCTAAAATGATGGTAGAGAAAAAGAAAAAGCTTTAAAAAAATAAAAAAACCAAATGAGTTTATCACATCTATGGATATCTGATAATAAACAAAACCACACAGAAAGTCTTCCACGCTCAGAGTTACAAAAAACAAAAAAAACCCTAAAGATGGCTAAGGCCAGCCACCACATAGAACAACCAAGTCCTCTCCATCTTCAAATTTCCTGGCCAAAGGATCTCAGGGCCCATGCTTCTCAGAGCATGTACTTTCTCCTAAAGTGGTCCACTCTGTTTTTAGACTCTTCCGGAGGTAAGAAAATCCTTCCTGTTCCTTAGTCGACTTTTCCCTCAGTGTCTCCTCACTGGCAAACAGAACTGCCTCCACTTTCACGGGGTGTTCAATTATGGCATGCCTGTTTACTCATGTGCTTATCCAGACTGTCATTAGCCTTTTTCAGACCCCTTCACTGTCCTAATAAAGGGGGTCACAGGTTGAGCTTTTGACGGAATGGAACACCATAAGCATCATACAATTGACTCCTGATGATCACTACCCTTCGCATTTCTACAGGCTTCCATGCTGTTTTATCGAGTTAAATGGTAACAACACAGACAGCATGTTTCGATAGGTGGTACTGAAGGACACCTGTACCCCACCTGAGCTCTACTGTTCAATATGCTCCTTCTCTAACAGTTTCTCAGTATCACAAAAGAATAAGGTCTTGAGGAAGACAGTTAGGAATGGCACAGACACCACCTCTACCAAGGCAGTGTGGTATAAGGGAAAGACATTTTGTAAT